CTTCTCAAGTCATCACCCTGTATGTTAATTTACTCAACACGCTGTGAATTGTGGGGTTGACAATTTATTTTGTATCAAAAAGTTTCGCTGTGTTGTTGGGTGACAAAACCACCGGAACGAATTGAGAAACAATGGCTATAGGGGTTAGATAAATTGAGTATGATATCAATTAAATCGACACATGGGTATATGAAAGTCAGCGTGCTACCTACAGGCGAAGAATTATCTTCCTACCAACATGATTGGGTTAAAAAACGGTATGCGGGACAGTCGCGAAGAAAAATTTAGGCAGCTGAAAAAAACAAATATTGAGGATATAGGCGTGTGACAATTTTTATGAACCATCAGGTTCTAATGAAACAATATGGGATATATTTTGAAAATTTACTTTCGTTCTCTAGTTTATGGTGGTAAATTTTATTGAATATTGTTTTTATATTCGAAATTTCAAATATTTTGCATTGGAACAATAATAATACTGCTAGTTTTTGCACTAGCAGTATTATCGGGAATTCGAAAGTTAACTTTCTTGCAAATATCGTCCACAAATATAAAAGAGTATTGGGTTGTTGTGAAATTGTAGAAGTTTTGTCCATTTCTATAAGTCTACTTTGAATTTTGATATCTCAATGAATACATATTCAATTTAATCGAAATAGGCCTCATTTGAATCGGAGCACTTTTGTCAACGGAGCACAAGTCGATTAATTCCGTCAGCATACAAGTAGATTGTGATTGGTATTCGATGATGTCGACGAAGGACATTTTTGCCTGATCCTGATTGGCGAAGGTTTTACCGGAAAGAATGTTATCGAAGTGGCATAAAAGATGGTGGTCGGTTGACGAAAGGTCTGGGGAGTATGGCGGTATGTTACTGTGGTATACAGATGTTGCAAAAGGCAAAAATGTGAAGGCCGAAATCAGCAAATTCCACACAAATTTCTTGATAATCACCATAAATTCACCAAAAAGTAGTTTTCGAATAAATGAACATGAAATCTATGAGTTTTTTGTATTAATTGATCATTTCTGAATGAACTGAAATTTGACATACATATACTTATACTTATGAATGCGGAAGTCACTCACTTAACACTCTCTCATTCATCTCTGTTTCTCCGTTTCGGTGAGTCCTAGGAAGCTAAAAAGTGGAATATAGGTGCTTCTTTAGTATCAGATGCGGACTAAGAAAGAATTTTCAAATATTCCAACTTGTGTTGTAGGTAGGTTCGTTTTGTGTTGCAGATGTGCAATAAAAAAGAATTTTTGAATATTCCAACTGGGGATAAAAGGGGCGCGTTTACATATGAAAGAAAATTACCTTCTCATCATTGTCCCCCCTGCCCCAATGGAAATAAAAGGGGCGCATTTACATATGAAAATTATCTTTTCATCAGTGTTTCTCCGTGCCGCTATATTTTTGGAGGCTGAAATTTTGTATGGATGATCTTTTTATGTTATAGATAGATGTGCAATAAGGACAGATTTTTCAATATTCCAACTGGGGCGCCTCCACCGGTGTTAAAAGGGGTGCGTTTACATATGTAAATTACCTTTTCATCAGTGTTTCTCCGTGCCGCTATATTTTTGGAGGCTGAAATTTTGTATGGATGATCTTTTTATGTTATAGATAGATGTGCAATAAGGACAGATTTTTCAATATTCCAACTGGGGCGCCTCCACTGAGGATAGAAAAGACGCGTTCACATATGAATACAACATATCGTCACTGTTTATTCGTACCACTATACAGTGAGTTTCAAAAAGTTTGCCCCAAATGGAAAACTTTTTATTTTCCATTTGTCAGAAAATGTTATTCCTGATACAAGTTGCTGCATTGCGGGAAACTATCGAAAGGTGTACAGGGAAGAACCAAAAATAGAAATTTTGATCAATAATAAACTACCCTTTTTTCGACATAATGAGAATAGTTTATTTAAAAAAGTTGCTCAAATTTGAAAACAATATTAACATTTGAAATCACAGCCACCTACGTAACAAAAACAACATTTTTTATGGTTCTATAGCCTTATTAGGAGTACTAATATCTCATATACATCTAAAGGCGCCTCCCCCATATCACTATAGTAATATTTCAATACGAAATTTAGTCCAATTCATTATTCGAACTGATATATGGATGTTTGTTGAAAATGGTTGAAATTTTCACTAGTTTTTTGGTGCAAAATTGATATTTCACTCTGTGTGTATATCCGTAACAACTATCAGTATGATTCAATGACGAGAAATAATCGACTGAATTAATTAATGCTAAAAATTCAGTAATACAAATCTGCAAGTAGTGCTAGTACTCTTTATGAGGCTACAACCAAAAAAAATTGAATTTTTTTGTTTTGTCACGTAGGTGACTGTGATTTCAAATCTGGATATTGTTTTCAAATTTAAACAACTCTTCCCAATGATTTTTTTTTATTATTGTCGAAAATGAGGATAGTTTTTACTCATGATCAAGATTTCTATTTTTTTGTTCTCTCTAACAAATGAATAATAAAAAAGTTTCCCATGTGGTGCAACATTTTTGATACTCACTGTATATTCGGAAGCTGAAATTTTGTAAGTGAGTTCGTTTTATGTTGTAGATGTGAAATAAGAAAGGAGTTTTAAATATTTCAACTGGGGAACCCCAATTGGGGATAAAGGGTGGCTTTTACTCCGTAACCGCTATATTTTCGGAGGCTGAAATTTGGTATGTAGATTCGGTTTATGTTGTAGATGTGTAATGGAAAAGGATTTTGAAACATTCTAACTGGGATGCCCCCACTGTGAATAGAATGGGCGCGTTTACGTATGAAAATTACCTTTTCATCACTCTTTCTCCGTACCACTATATTCTCGGAGGCTGAAATTTTGTATGTAGGTTCATATTATGTTGTAGATGTGCAATATGGAAGAGTTTTTGAATATTTCAACTGGAGCGCCAGCTGCGGGTAAAAATGGACGGTCAAAAAGTAAAGTTACCTTTGCATGACTGTTTCTCCATAAAGCTATAGGTATGTATGTAGGTTTCACGTTGTGGATGTGCAAAAAAAAAAGGATTTTTGAATATTCCAACTGGGGCGCCAGCCGCAGGGGAAAAAAGGCTCGGCCGTAAAACAAAATGACCACCATTACACCCGTGCGGAGCCGGGCCGGCTGGCTAGTTCACGTATATTGGCCACGTACATTCCGCCAGCTCTCTGAATTTTCTGAAGAAAACGGCAGGCTTCGCACTTGTGCCCGGTAACAAAGTCACTAGAACAAAATGATTTCAACAACTTTCCGCCCAGTTTATGATACATTTCCCCTAAGATATAGAAGCAAAATAGATATGTACACCCCCATACATGAGAGTGATTTCCATTTCACGCTTCGAAAAACTTTTCCTACGAAGCTCCATCAATCATACACATCTCTTGAAACGAATAGGTAGTGAGTGAACTCCGGCGGAGCGTAAAAACAAGCATTTTCCATGTCATCCCCGTTTCGTTATTTACCTTAGCCGCGTATTTTGGTTTCTTTACATGTCGAATTCAAATTAGGCACTGTTTTAAAGTTTTTTATTTTCTTAAATGTAAATCTACATAAAATCGTTTGATGTCAGCCAGATGGCTTACAGTAGGTTGCCTCGGTTCGGAATACGCTCCGAAAGAGGAAAATACTCCGGAGGGTACACATTTACATCGTTAAAGGGGTTATAATGGTTGGGGTGGAGTCGAGATATTCCATCTAAGTTTTGTCTTTGTGTTTCAAAAATGTTTATATTTCGCTCAGTTGAAAAGTAGCTTAGCAGCTATTATGTGGTGGAGTTGTGGGCGTGAATCCCGCATTTAGCCCTTTCACCGTTTTACATTGTCAAAATATTATTTGCCGTACTTAGATTGTCCCTCATATTATACGAAAAGTGGTTCATTTATATTCATAGGATTTGTTTAGTGTGTACTTTAAGCAATTGTAATGAACAAACCACTCAGTAGTATAATATACACGATGATTACCAAGTTGTTTCAAAAATTTCGTCCGTTTCATCATCATGTGTTCTCAATAAATATTTGTTCCACTGGGTCGTCGTATATACAGCTCAATAGAGAATTTTGTACTCTATACATTGATGGTTTCATTTTTTTCCAATTCTGAGTTTTTGCCTCTCTTCAGCTTACCACTACAAGGTAGTCCCAGAAGTACCCAGAGATGGAACACAACTAGACTCCTCAAATACATCGAATTTCTCTTCAAAAAACTGTGCAAGTAGTAAGAGTTGTTGTTATCCAAAAAAGATTTGTAAGATCAATCTTCGATCTAAAATATAACGAAAGATGTAGAGAAGCTTCTTTAAAAATAAAATTCTGACGGTATTTGGTATCTATCTTTACAAATTACTGTCTTACATCCACTCAAATTTGTCATCATTCTCTAGATCTCACGAAATACGCGATTAACCCACTAGACAAAACCATGAAATTCATGTTAGAAAACTTAATCTTCCAGTAAAAATTAAAGATATTCCCGATCACAAAAAGTTTAATAACCAACTGAAGAAATCTGTATTTATATATGTTTCTACAATTATCTTCGATTTTCAGCTTTTATGTTTTTTATATTAACCTGTCTTGTACATTCTTATAAGATTCATCAGTCCAAATAATTTTATTTAAAAAAAGTGGATCTTCTTGAATGCGTGTCAACAACATTTCACAAAATTCTACTCTCTGTTGAGGATCTTGAGGCTTCATTGCTTGAATTTTGGTGAATTTATAATCATGCATTTTATGTCTTCGCAAGATTCTTTGAACCGATGAATATTTTATACCCAAATCTTCTTCAGCACTTCTTATCGATGACTCGGGAAATGCGTGAAAATATGCTAAGACATTAATCTGGTTGTCTTCGAAAGTTACGGGTCGAGGCAAGTTTCTTGGTGCTTTTAAAGTTGATCCAAATGCATTGAAATTGTTCTGAATTCGTATAAATTTCTTGAGGTTCATTGGCGGTAGATNTTCTCTATGATTCCAAACTGAACATTCAGTTACTATCAAAAATTTCTAATCGATTCATCAGAAAAGGTTTGAATGTATTCATTTCATGAGTGTAACTTTGCCAGTTTCCAATTCAAGTGGTCTACCTCACTATCTGAGGTAGACATTCCTGACAAATCAGATGTCCATTGTGGCATTCATTCATTGGTGGTGAAAGTCGCAGTAGACAGACTGGACATTGCAGCTCAGCCAATACTGTGTCTTCGAGAGATTTAGCGGAATCTGCAAAAATAAAAACTGTTAGGCATGATCCAATCGTACAAAATAAAATACAGCTTTGAAAGTGACAAAGTAGTTAAGACGTTGGCGGCTGAGGTCCTCAGTGTCACCAGGATGTATAAATGTCTGAAGAAGATTGCCACACTCGCTAGCGAAACGTTGGTGACACTGAGTGTTGATGTAATTTGTGGTGATGATAAACTTTGGACAATGTTACCAATACCAGTTGTGATGATCTACCAATCGAAAAATAACAAGTAATATACTTGTGATGCACTGTTTGGACACTAGAGTTTTATTTTTACACCAAACCATTATTACAACACCTCGACACATGTTTTGATCACCAAGTATCATCTACAAGAGAATGATTAATATATTACTCTGAGATTTTCACTTTACAATGCGGTTTCCGTACAGTGATAATCTTACAGTAAACTGTTTCAGCTAGTGATTCCGCCCATAATATAGAACGAGATAGACCTCTGATGGTGATTCTTCATGAATTCAGTCTAGTTTTGGACTTACTCAAAAAAAAGACTCATCTTTTTGAAAAATGACATCGAATATTATCTTATCTGACTCAGCTTCAGAGAGATGTATTGAATCAGGTTGAAAACCAAAAAAAAATGGGGGAAATAACCTAATCATAAAAGATATTAAGGGTGGCATGGCTAGATGAAGATGTATCCATTATAGAAACCCAAATTCCAAGCTATAACTTGTTTAGATTGCATTGTAGACCTCTCACTAGCGTTAAATCAAGAGGTACTGATCGCTATCAGAGAGTCAGTTAATGTTCGGTGCCTCAATACTGAAAATAATACAGCGGAACATGTTTTTGTTGACATCATGCAAAGAAAAGATAGTTTCATTTTTTGCTGTGTGTACATTCCATCCTGTTCAAGCGACGAATTATAGATTCGACGAATTATAGATGAAGTTGAACTCCTTGTACAGATATGTCATCTTCACAAAGTTGGCGACTACAATTTATCAGAAGCAGAATGGGAATGTAAGTGTAGTTGTCAATTATGTATGTATCCATCACGGTTGTTATTCATTTGAACTGCCTGTTTCTAGCGAAATGTCCATTTTGAACTATATGAAGAATTTATTTTTGACTTTAGAAAAGCAGATGTCAGGGCTATCAATAACTATTTTGCGTGTGCTGACTGGGATAATTATTTGAGTGAAACATCTACCAACTTAGCTTTGGAACAATTTCACAAACTACACCTCACGATTTGATCTCCACAAACTTCATTTGAAAAATATATCACGACATGTTTCGCTAACACAGTAGCTTTATCAACAGTGACATATCGGATGATAAATCTAGGTTCGTTCCAACCAGCATCACAAAAAGTTTCTGACAGTCAGGATTCCGCGCAGTAATGTGATTGCGTTCCAACGTGAGTTTCCAACCATTAGTGAACTATCAGTTTTCTGTTCCATCCAAGATTCAAACTTGTTCGAAATCTATCAGAATGGTTTGAGGATTATCTTTTAACCATTAATCTGACGCATGCGTATTCCGTATTACTGTTTCTGTTTTATGTTCATGCAACTTGTAAACAACATAACCTGCAAAAATTGTTATTAAATACATTATGTATTTGCTGGCGCAGGAAAAATTGGGAATTCTTTAAGTGAACCTATAATATGAACATCTTTAATTACACAAATTAATTATTGCGNCTTTTACTCTCCAGAAATACACATGATTAGATTTATTTTTCAAGGTTATGTTGAACTTCCATGCCAAACTTCAGTTGAACTATCAGCTGTTCCAATCAGAAATTTCAAATTAATCAGAAACCAATATTTACCAGACATGCGCGTTGACAACGATTTACAAACAGTTGGAAATATGTTTGTGACTCAAGGTTGGAACGAACTTCTGTCTTCATGGTAAACAAGCACGTGACAAACTATGGACACTATAGCCCACTATCAAGAATTCTGAGAGGCCAACGAGTTAAGCCTCAACTTTTTTCACAACTCTTTGGAAGTATTCAAACATGAAGTCAAAGATGATGTATACTATGTAATTATGTAGGTACTATGTCAGCAGTTAATGAGGTTATATATTAGTTTTGAGTTGATTTTTACTGTGAAAGTTATTAATCAAATACAATTGCATTACAACATTGTAAAACAGAAGTATCCCGTTTATACTACTTAATAAAAATAAATAAATAAATAAACTCACCATCATTCATACATTTCTTCCTTGGTACTGCAACGTCAGTATCCCCAGTAGATTCACAATTTGTGGTTTGATGCGAATGAGGTTCTGAGGATTCTGAACAGGAACGTTCATGAACTGCAACCTCTGCAGGTTTTCCAATAAAGTCGCAACCAGTCTTCACGAAAGGACATGTTATATTGGTGGAACATAATCGTTCTACCAAATAATCTCTCCTAGTTGGATTTTGACATGAAGGACACGTTCCAGGAAATTTGTTACACTCCCCACAGAAGTGTTGCCCGGAAGTGCATTTCATTAAAGGAGGTTCAAGTTTGCACGAACAAGAACGACATGTCACTGCATGCATAAATTCTTCAAGCACTATTGATTCCATGCTGATTCCTGTAAAATTTACAACATTCAAGTCAAGGATACGTCAACAAAAAACACACAGGCAGATTTTTTATCAAAAAAGTGAACGAAATTTATCGAAGGAATCTGTCGGAATAGCTAAGCAAAAAAAAACTATCGTTTCGCATTACTTCTGTACTATGAATATATGTCAAGGAGAATTGAATTGACTATGATATCTTATTAGAATGAAAATGTATCGATTCACTTAACTATGCTTGAATGCATTAACTTTTTCGTGCAATTAAAGATCCGTAGATTTTCGATAAATTACCTATCACTATTGGCACCAAAATCCACGAAAGTACACCTGCATCAAGAGGATGTTCTATTCAATATTGTGAAGTTATGGCAACACTGGCCATAATATTTCAGGTAATATGAACTTAGAACTTACTCAGTTATTGATCACTTTCACGTGTGGTCAATTTCTTCAATCTGTTAATCACTACATCAGCTAACTTGTCACTTGTATATCTAACCACACTATATTCGTAACAATGTTTATACATCCTTTTATATGGTTTCTAACACATTATCAAGGTGTTGCCGAAACACAAAATGACCGATATCAAAAATCTTCTCCGGTCCCTGAGAATCCTGAAATCAAAGTAGTTAGATAGCCTGAACAGATTAACAGATCGGCACCATGATAATTTTTGTTAGTTCACTTGGTATTCGTCACGGTGTTTTTGTTTCTAACAAATGTCATCCGAAATGAGGGGTTATTGTGAAAATTCACACAGTACTTAGATAATTCCTGGCCAGTTTGTTGTCATGATGGTTCTGAACTTGATAAAATCAGAAAGTACTGATGTTTGAGGATGCTGCTTGATCCCACCAGTAATAAGTGGAATGATACGACTGCCCGTCGCCTCCTAACAACACTTCCCAAAACCATTCTTTCAATGATTTCATTCTAGAGTGATTCAAATAGAAAACAAATCACTTTCGAACAAGCACGACTTTCAAAAAGCTTTGTGTGGTGTCTTGGAATTGTTAGTTGAGCAAAAAAACTAACACTAAGTACTTTGAATGGTTTATTTGCGTATTCACACGTCATTCCTCAAAGACGACTTAACGTCCACTGCCCTACTTGTTGATAACCTATTTACATGCGGTGTTGTCACGTTGTCCCCCTCTTGGGTGAATATACCACACTTTGTGTATTTTCTGCAATGCTTGTTTTTCTTCATGAAAAATATTTGCAAATATGTTCTATTTTTTTGAATCAGAGCCATTTCTTAACAGGTTGTTGTGAGTGGTTGAAATCACCACTATTACAATCTATAATTGGATAATTAAGTTTTTTTTTTACCAAGTGGAAGTCAGACATAACCACTCCTACCCACAAATCGGAAAATAAAGTAGCTATAGAAAACTACAGACCTATTTCAATTATGTGTGCTGCTTTTAAATTATTCGAAAATAGCTATTCATGATATGACTGTTAAGAGTAAGGTTTTATTTTGTGAGAGAACGAACAAAATCAAACTTGTAACACGAATATCATATAAAGTTTTTTGTACAACTGTCCTGTTTTCATAATAAAATAGATACATTTAATATTTCTATAAAAACACATTTTGACATTTCTTGTCAGCTAACTATTTTCATGTTATCGCATTTGCTGTGAAGTGGCCGTGTCAGGTGACGCCGAATCAACTAGTTACCAACAAACATTATCGTTTACAGCTCCACGTTTTATTTAAAGTCACATTTAAAGTTCTTGCTGGTGTTAAAGGTCTTGCATAATTAAGAACAATAGTGAGGAATTGTGCGTGTTCCTGACGATATTGAAGAGGCTGCAAAAAAAGTTTCGATTGAATTGTTACCAAAAATATCGAATCAGCAGTACGACATCGCATATTCTAATTTTCTTAGCTGGTGTAGACTTAAAAATGTCGAACTAAATTCCAGCGAAACCGTCTTATTAGCCTATCCAGAAGAGAAATCAGAAATATGGAACTCGTCAACTTTGTGGAACACGTTTCCCATGATAAAGTCGACTACGATCGTTAAAAATAGTGATAATACAAGCAAATATTTGAAGGTAACAGGATTCTTGAAGAGGAAAAATTAAAGGTTATAGGCCGAAAAAATCAAAAGCTCTTACGTTTGAACAAGTCCAGAGGTTTATAAATGAGGCGCCAGATGAAAAATATTTGATGATAAAAGTTGCTACTATTTTCGGAATATATGGAGCCTGCCGGCGTAAAGAGCTGTACCATTTATTAATAGAAGACATTAAATTGATGGATAAATCATTCATTGTTCGAATTCCAAACACAAAAACGAAAATAGGTCATTCTTTTTGCATTGCTGGAAAAAACATTGACTATTTTTATTAATACGTTGCATTACGCCCTCCTCTTATCAATCATCAATACTCAAATTATAAATGCAGTGCCAACCCAGTTGGTATAAACACGTTTGGGAAAATGCCCTCTATCATTGCTAAGTTTCTGAACCTCCCGGAACCAAAGGAATATATAGGTCACTGTTTCAGACGGTCTTCTGCTTCTTTGCTAGCAGAATCAGGAGCAAATATAACGGATATTAAGAAGCACGGAGGATGGAAGTCTACAACAGTAGCTGAGGGTTACATCGATCAATTTATTTCTCACAAAAAAGCTATTGCTGAAAGAATAATCCCAACAGCTAGCTCCAGCGTTAGAGCATCGTCCTCTTCACTTCAAGAATTGAGTGTTATTGCCCATGAAATTGTCAACTCAGATAGTTCAAATATATTACAAGGCTCTTTAACATCGCAAGGTAATAATATCAGCAGTTGTTCTAATTGTACTTTTCATATATTAATGTTCATAAATAATAATGTAATTAATGTATATAATACATTTGAAACAAAATTGAATTGTATCTATATCTATTGTTCATAATAAAACTTCTTTGAAAATTAAATAATTATGGTTTTGTTTATTACTCCCAAAAAATCGTTTTAAAAATACTTTATACTAGTGTTAAAAATACTTTTAACACTAGTGTTAAAAATTTTTTTAACATGCTACTTTGTAAACATCATCTTTTAATACTTTTACGTCACTTTTAATGACAGTTGTACAAAAAATTGTTTATACAAATCTTCATCACCATCTGGAAAAATTCATAACGCCTGAACAGCACTGTGTTGTAGCAAATGAATCGATAAATAGCCTGTGACACACAAGAAAAAAAAATACAGCTTCATATGATTTTCACAAAGCCTTTGACAAGGTAGATCATGACACTCTATTACGAAAATTGAATCAAATACAAAAAAAAGAAGAAATTTATGATGCTTTTATCCAATTTAAAAGATATTTCGAAAATATACTCAGGACAATACCTATATGCCCATTTCAAATTTCTGTGCCTCTATCACACACGCTCACACAAATATGCAGTATTTTTGTCTGTAACTGTATGGCTAAGTAAATAATAATTTCAACAAAAGAAGTCTTACATATGTTTTGACTGAACGACGCCAAATGACCATAAATTTACGTAATCTATTCAAAGTTGACAAGCATGTTGACTAATATCTCTTATGATTCCATAACAATTATTAAGTCATAATTGTAGGCATTTCGAGGGGTTATTCCCTAAAACACCCCTCAGTGTATTAGCTGAAACAGAGAGGAGGGCCCTACTAAACCGGGTTACGGCTCGATTACTACCCAGGATCTGTTCAGAGGTCGAATAGAGCATCTGTTAGTTCTCAAATGGCGATGAACATTTTTGATTTCGTCGTAGAGGAAGAGGTTGGTGGCTCAAATCTTGATTTATAAGTTGATAAATATAAGACATTTACAAAAATCTGAAGGTATCAAAGCTATCATAGCAATTATCAAACTTTGTACCATCAACTGCTAGATAAAACTGAACATTGTTCGCAAATGTTCGCTATTATGTTGTAGAAAGAACTATAAAAAGGAAATGTGTCTCATCGATTTGTTATTTTACACGCTTGCTGGCAAAAGAGGGTACGCAAAACGCCTAAAAACAGTTTTTGTGGACCTGCAGACTTCCAGAATTTTATCTACTTGTCCAAAAAACAGTATTTTCCGGACTTGAGAAATCAAATCATGCGACATTCTCGTAAAGAACTTCTCTTAAAGTATAATCTCCCGACATAACGTGCAATCAAATTATTTGAAGCATATTTACTTGGACGGAAACAAAAGATGTGTATTGACAAAGTCAACTCAACAAATCTAAACCTCAAATCCGGTGTCCCACAAGGGTCTATATTAGGACCACTTCCGTTTTCTTTATATACCTACCTCAACAATTCTGAAATCTCTTGAACATTGCACTGCTCACTGCTATGCAGATTTATCTAGGGGATGTGAAAACGGCCTGTTATTTCATCAATGAAGATCTTTACAACTTCATACAAAAAGCATCAAACCACTGTCTTCTGGTCAATCTTTCATAATGTTATTTGGTCCAAAAATCAATTCATCGTTTTCTCAAGATATCACATAAATAAACTTGTTCAGAGATCTTATCTATCCCCGAAAACATTATACGGAGCCAGGCTTTTTTTAACGATGGATATGAAACTACTTCTCTGTGTTTAGGGTCCCAATATGTATCAAAAGTCGTGTTCAAAAATATAAAAAGTTTAAACCTCTTGTCTAAGACATATATTATGGTGTTCGTAGACGTGAAAGATTTTGGATATGGAGAAGAGAAAACATTTTCATGCTGCTTGTTGGTTCCACAAAATCATAATTACCAAAAAAACCTCATATTCACACCGTAAAATCACATTTCGCTATGATATCCATAATAAAAATGCCAGATTCATATGAACACTAACTCCACCAAATTTTAAAACTGTATCTATCTACAATTTATGTGAAAAATAAAGGCGATTATTCTCATTATTATATTTTATTATGAAATACAGTTAGCAACCCTGAATATAGGATACTAAAGTATTCCATTAGGTCATTATTGTCAAAGCAATGAAATTTGTCATTTCATTAACGATCTATTCAATTTCTATTTATGTGAAATCTCTATTTCAGCTTTGATACATATTCAGCACAGAAGGGAAAGAGAAATGTAATCCTGTGTCAGCCAGGACGATAGATGACCCTTGCACCTGACAGACGCAGGATTTTTCTCACGGAGTTACATGAAGTGTGTAGTTTCAGGACAAACTACGCTCGTCTGTGGCCAACAGCTTCATAAGATTTCAATCATTATCACTTTGAGTTTGAGATATAACAGTTCAATTCTATTCATGAGAAATGTACTTTGGTAATTTTTTATACTTTCTAATTTTCTACTGTAAATATAAACATGATTTTATCAATGGAAATCTTTATGCCAACATGAAAAATAAAAAAAATCGCTAATCGAATGTAGGCAGCCCGCGAAATTTGAACATTAACCTTATTTTTTTAACGGTCCACTATTTCATAAGAAAAATATTATACCATTCTAAACCATTAATATATAATTCTCACTCTTAACATACAGATTAAATATGTTTGCCACAAAGGCACACAAAAAACAAATGCCAATAAGCTAAGTAGTAAGTAAGCATCGAAATAAATCTAAATTAATGTTGTTTTTTAGAAAACTATTGGTCAAAATTTTAAAACTTGAAGGCTACTTTGAAAAAAATTATGTCATACCCGATCCCAATGTTATTTAAAAAATTTGGATGAAGTATCGTCCTTTCTTAGGAATGGAAGTGTCGGATTGGAAAATTCTGGAAAAGATTATTCCTTTGCTTTTGAAAATTGACGAACCCTTGCGTTTTGCTGCTGTACATTCAGTGGCGGTTTACAAACTTAGAAAATTCGTTTTCAAAGCTAATACAACTCTATGAAATTCTAGGAAATTGACAATATATCTGATGAAAATCAGGCGTGCCAATTTGAAAAGTAATTCACAAATCAACATATTTCGTTAATTGCTCAATAAATGTGTCTTTATAAAAAAACATAACGGTTAAATGTTGGTAAGTAATGTATAAATCTCGTTGAAAGAACCCCATCAATATGGTTTCTGCAAGCAATAAGAAAGAAACTGAGAGAAACTGAAATCTTGGAGCCGAGGTTTAGCCGTAATAGTGTGAACCAGCAGATGTTATTTTCTTAAAGGACCGACGCCTGCAAGCCATACGCACTCTCGGGCTTTCTCCTACAGATTTATTGTTGTTTCTTTATCACCATCTGACAGAGGCACATACATATTCAGTTTCTCCATTCTCGGGTCTCTGTTGCTCCATTCCGTAGTAGCTAGTTATTTTGTAGTGATTTTTTTTTAGTATATTGGTACATGACAACTTATCACCATTTAACACAAGAGTCACTAAACGGTTCTCTTTCTGGGCGGCTTCTAAATAATTAGCTAGGCAAAAACAGTTGTTGGATAATAATATGATGTCTTCACACGATTACTTTGCTAGAATATCAAGAAAAGTTTCTCAAAAACTGAAAGCACTATCTCGAACCACCTCCCTCATGGAGCTATGCATTCAATGCTTCATTAAGCTCAAATTTTATTACAACAGCAGTTTATTTTAGGAAGAAAAATAAAGTGTTTGCACGAAGTTACCCCATAATGTAAGGAAGGAATTCTAAAGAGACATTTTGGAACAAACTGGAATAATTTTTGAATACATTTTTTTCTTGAAATTATAATATTTATCGTTCACTGAGGAAAAAATGTAATAACCACTATTGAATTTCACTGGTAGTAATCAAAAAGTTCATCTACATACGTGACTGGGGCACAGTTCACTTACCACAAATAAAAATGTTCATTTACCACTCTTACAATGGTCAAATACTAGGAAGCTCTACTCATAAGTAAACCCCAGCTATTTATTTGTATTAAACAGTTCAAAATGTATTCATGTTGATAAATTCTGTATTTTTCATAATTAAATGAAGTGGTTAACTAAACTATTCGTTCTATTTCCAGAAAATTTTAGCGTGCATATCCTTCAATCTGTTACTACTCACTTTCAAAATGTGAAAGTAAGTTTTATGAACACGATGTTATTAAATTTTATTATTATTACGATTAATACAACATACCCCCATTCTGATTACTGAAAATTATCGATTGTCACAAATATTCATCTATCTAGTAGTTAGTACAAAAGTGATTGATTTTAACATCAATGTTAGGATCAGACAGATTTTCTAGTTGTCATTTGTCATATTTAAAAAAACTTAGTTGGGTTTTAGGTATTTTTTTTTTGGAAATTGACTTTTGGTGGAGTTCATGACACTTTTGACATATTGAGGCCTTCTTTAACGCCGGTCACTCACAACTAGTTGTAAAAATGTTTGCATTTGAAAAATTATAAATAATAGTGCTGTTGCAGAAAAAAGACTTCATCGACCATATATTAGAGGTGTTGTGACGACAAATAATACTACAAATCATCAACGTCATTCAGATAAAATTGAACGGTCATTAAATATATTTCGCTCCGTTGACTCTGTGATCACGTGATATCAAATCTAAATCCGCTCGCTCGGTTCCAGATTTTCACAAACGTTATCAACAGTTAAGTAATCCTTTCGAAATTAAGCGTGCCAACATTTAATGGCAGGTTTACAAAGCAACGAATATTAAAGTAACTAGTTGTATATATGCAATGAACTGTCAATTGTCTTCCAAATATATCAAAAAAACTTGCTGATGAGAGAAGTTTGTGACTAGTTCCTGAAAGTTTAGAGGTCCATCTAGAGGAACTCCTTTTGTAGATGAAGTCTTATATCAATACTCCATATGTAGTGACGAATGTTTGATGTGAAAAATGAATAATTAAGAGTAATTTCCTCTCACTTAGTCCTTGTGAAATTATTGAATTGAGAAATTTCCCGTTAATCATGTACCTCTGTGCATAATCTACACATCTTTGATAGACTTTTCATTGATATATTAGGTTTTTCATTTTTTGGAAGATCTCTACTGTTTATATATTGATGGAGAAATGGAAAACGAAAAACGTTTTTCCAATGGGGGAATTATATTCAAGAACTGAAAAACTTATAGAAAATCAAGGTTATGACTTTCTACTTTTCCATCTTTATGAAAAAAATGTGGGAATCTACAAAGAAAGAACGAAGTTAATTTAAAAAAAAAGTCAAATTTCTTTTTCACTGATAACCTATACAAAAATGATTTTAAATTTATATGTTCAAAGAACATAGTGGCGCCATTTTCCACAGAAAAGGTTAACTTATTATTCCTCATTAAAATTAATATAAATGAAAATGTAAATATATAGCGACGTTGCTACGCTTAGCCTAGTCCACGAATTACATGGTGAAGGAAGTAAGATGTTTTGTCATACCTCTCCTTTCAATACATCTCAATTCACAAAATCATTGGAAAGGATCAGTGAGGAAACTTAAAATACTTGTTAAAATTATCAACATTGTATTTGGACTTTCTTTGGTACAACTAATTCTGGTTACGCTACCAACGCCGCGCTGGTTGAACAACGAAAAAAAAACATTACACAAGTGTGTTTCAGTTGAAACTGAAATGAATATGAACACAATGAATTTGACAGATCCAAACACACAAAAATTTATTTATAGGATATACACGTTAAGAGAATGACGTCACAAAATGACAAGTTACGGCGTTGCCTACATGTGCACTATTTGGAACTTTCAAATTTTTTTGTACTGTTGATTTGTTTTATTGCTATTAACCTTACTATTAATTTACTTAGTTGAAATACAACTTTGTTGAGACTGTTTCGACAATGCTTTAGGCATATTGAATATACGCAAGTCGCATCAAAAGAAATGATTAGTTCTGAAAAGAAAAGAAAGACTGACAGTTTTCGAGTTTTTTCGATTCGGCAACGTCTGAAATTTTACTAGTTTCATTGCTATTTAACGCATTTCATTGGGAATTTTAAAGTTATGTTGGATATACAAAATTACCAAAAATGAGGGCATTCTCTTCTTGACGTGAATATCCTTTATATGTCATTCCATATATCTAAAATATATTATCACAAACAGAAACATTGATATGCCACAATGAATAGTCAACACTTGACACCATTGTTTTTTTGTTCAACTAGGCTTTCAACTATATAAATCAATCCAAATATGGTAAAATATAGTTATCACAAATAGAAACATTAATATGCCACATAAAATGGTTGACACCAGGTACTGTAACTATTTTCAATTTCTTCTTGTTTTGTAGAGTTTTCAGTCCGATGGTATCTTCCGTGTATATGGTTCGATCTACCAAGTTAACCACTGTTCCATTTTCATTATAGTATCCAAACTGACTGAAAAAGTGAGCATGCTGAATGTACTCCTAGGTCTCAAAAAAAAATTATTCAAATAATAAACAGCACAGAACAAATAATAATTTGAATAGATTCATTAGAAACAATAAAAATAAATGAACCAGTGACGGATCGCAAGTATAAAAGTTCTTATTCTTCACTTTTTTTATAGTTTTTGCTTCCCTTACGGCGCAGAAGACCAGTAGAGTATACGAGTTGACTTGTGGATCTTGCCCAAAATTTTATATCGGATAAACCGGAAAAAAAAGGAATTGACATGGATAATTTTATTCTAGTTATTACCTAGATTGCCATGGCGTAATTACGCCATCATCAGGTCCACCAATAAGTACCATCAGTTTCAACTTAGTGAGAGCTTGCTTGAATTCTTCACTTCGATTCGACTTTATTTCATTATTCACAAATGGCAAATACTGGGAATAGCTTATGTATAATTGCCTATGATATGGGTCATTCCAATAATTACCTACTGAAGTATGCTGTCCAATTCTGGAATAAAATAATTCAAAAGCTGTTTCCAACGCTAAGCCAGGGAAAAATAAATGAAGAAATTGTGCTAAAAAAGTAACGCTATAGCATAAACCTCGTGAAGATGTATCAAATGCTTACTTCCATATTGTCCAGCTTGTGGACCGCTGAGTGATATAAACCTAAGTACTTTGTGATCTGGGTTCGCCTGAAGAATGGTTCTTGCTAAAAGAGCCCCCTGAGAGTAACCTAGAAAAAGAATATTTGCATTATGAATGGAATAATGAAATTCGAGTTTTCCTCTAAAACATATAACAAGATTTTTTTGTTTTTTTCACAAGTTTGCCCGTGCTACTCAATTCTTCAATAATTGCATCAACAATCATAGTGGGATAAGATAACTAGCAAAAAATTTGTTTGGAACAAATGATCTATCATGAAACTTAATAAAGGTGACGGGTCTTGAAGACAACTCTCTAGTGGAAAGAATGTTTATATTCATCCCTAACCTTGCTTACTTGTGCCCGATTCACAATGTAAAGATCCTGGATTCAGTTACCAATTGACTGATATCTTTCTCGTGAAAATTAATCTACTTGAAAGTGAATTTATTGTGCTATGTTGAATTGTTGATGGAATTATGAATAGTCGTGATGCTTCTTAGGTGGTTCGGAGAAGTATTAAAATGACTTACCCAAAACAAGAGGCTAATAGCTATAGTAGTTGATGTTACTGATATCGAAAAAAAAAAAGGATACTTAAGCATGTAAGCAGAATAGTAGAGATGGTCAAATTAGACCTGTACTAACTCCTCCTATGAAGATGACAGCCAATGTTAAATTTTATAGCAACATAAACCTGACACATTTTTTTATGTTCACCTTATTTCATATACCTCACCTAGTAAGTGAACGCCTTCAGGATGTTTTTCTGTGATATTCAATAAATTTTGCCCAATCTGATTAGCTTGATACCACATGTTATCTAGACTAGACCATCCTCCGAACCTTTCAATATTGTAAACAATTGTGCCAGGGTGTTTCTGAAAATGGAAAACATTCAATCAACTCAGCTGAGATCCAGACGTAGAAGTACCTCCTCTATTCGCGTTTTTATGAGCTCCATACTTTCAGCTCCAGTCATTATTCCATGGAGTAGAACTACGGGCTTGTAAGCAACTGTGCAGGAGAAACATATAACTATTAATAAGAAAAAATATACAACTGAAATTTTCGTCATTTTTAGATAGAGTTATACAGTAAGGAAGAAGTTTATTAGCTGAACACATCTGGCACCGTGAAACTAAATGACTTTGCACTATTTAAATCATACTTATGTTCATTGTTGTTTATTTATAATTGAATAAATTAATCATATTGCTCATTACTTCACAAGCATAAACCAAATTCATCATCTTCTCTTTTTTTTTTCTTTTTTTGGGTTTTTGAATAATCATTTTGTAATCATTCATGACGTAACTCATATTAGACGAGTCCTGAGGTTTTTTGCCACACGATTCGAATTTAATTTTGTGTATGCTAACGGAACCAAAACTTTTTTTCCCCATTTGAAAAATATCATGGATGAAAACATGCACTTATACACCATGCACACTACACCAATATGAAAATTCACCTTCAGAGAACAAAACACTATACTTGAACTAAAAGCTCAAAAAATTACTCATCCCACATCTCATTTTTTACCATCACCCATACCTTTGTTTTATTGAATATGGATGGTAACAGAAAGAAATGTAAAGAAATCTATCGTCAGTCATCTTCCTCGGTCTCATCAGGATTTGAAGGTCATTATTTGAAAAATGTATGATCACGATTAAGACTTCTTGTATCATTTTTGAAAATTATTTAACTATTGACATACTTGAAAAATGATACAATCGTCTTGTTTCAAAGTTAAACAACAATAATATATTATTTCGGTAATCGCTGTCAAAAATTCTAGTTAGTAGCGGTTGGAAGCGGTTATATTTGGAACGTACTTTTTTATTTATTATGAATCCGTTGAAAATAACCTCTAACCTCAATTCAAATTTAAATCATTTATATGATTTGTTTGGAGGGTTGAATTGTTGTAATCAATTTTGAAATAATAGAATGGCTTCTGGTAATGCTCCACCACTTCGAAAAACCACGCGTTCTCTAAAACCCAGTTTGAAAGCTCTAGAATCACAATTTCTGAACCAGAGTAGTAAATTGGATTATGAAAAGTACTCCAGTAGTGAATCAGATTCTGAAGATTGCAATTCCGATATTGAAAAGCCAAAAGTTATTCACGAAAACGAAATTATCCAGGGAAAAGACATTTTCAAATTTCAAACTAGGAAAATAAGAGATGGACTAGCTCTCAAAGTTGCAGAGGCATGTACCCCAAAAACTCAGAGGCAGAAAGCTAAGAGTAGAATTGCGATATTGAAAAGCCAAAAGTTATTCACGAAAACGAAATTATCCAGGGAAAAGATATTTTCAAATTTCAAACTAGGAAAATAAGAGATGGACTAGCTCTCAAAGTCGCAGAGGCATGTACCCCAAAAACTCAGAGGCAGAAAGCTAAGAGTAGAATTGCTAGAATTATCCAGGAAGATTCTGGCAGCGAATATGAAGTTTCTTCAGATGAGACCAGTGAAGAAAGCGATGAGAAAATCAGTAGTGACTCAGAATCTGATGTGGATGATAGAAAAGTGCATAAGATTATTAACGAATTCAAAGATGTTAAATTGAAGTCTTCTAGAGTCAAAAGTGCCGGTGAATACACAATCAAAACTGATGTGTAATTCAATAACTGCAGTGGGAGTAAAAAAACTTCCAACACTTTAGACAAGTTGAAAACTCCCAGATTACCCCAATATGAACTGCAGACTCTTTTACAAAATATAAATTTATCTGGAAAACATGAAGAGGCTCTGCAGAAACTGTCCCAGAACAATGAGAACTACTTTAAGAAATGGTTGTTTCTCTTGAATGAAAATTTCAATATTCTCCTTTATGGTTTAGGTTCGAAGAAAAATATTTTGAGAAAATTTCAGTTGACTTACCTGAACCAAATGCCAGTTGTTGTGGTGAATGGATTTTTTCCTACACTTACTATCAAAAGCATTTTGGACAATATTATCACTGACTTATTGAAATTAGGTGAAAGTCCTGCTAATCCTGTGGAGGCTTGCGATTTAGTGATAAAAGAACTGAAGAGACATCCATCAATTCATTTATATTTGATAATTCATAATATAGAAGGGGAAACTCTAAGAAATGGAAAGGCACAGAATATTTTAGCAAATTTGGCTTCGACTAACAATATTCATTTGATAGCATCAATAGACCATATCAATGCACCGTTAATTTGGGATCATAGGAAACTAAGTAAATTTAATTACATTTGGTGGGATGTTACATCTTTTTCGCCCTATCGTGAAGAGACTTCTTTTGAACGGTCTATGATGGTCCAACAGAGTGGAACTTTGGCATTGTCATCTCTAAAGAATGTATTTTTATCCCTAACTGTGAATTCGAAGAATATATATACATTAATTGTTAAATATCAGCTGGAAAATTCTAAAAATCAATACTACCAAGGATTCGCATTCAAAGACTTGTATATGGCCTGCAGAGAATCCTTCATAGTGAGTTCGGATTTAGCTTTGAGGGCTCAACTAACGGAATTCATAGATCATAAAATGGTTAAATCAAGAAGATCCGTTGATGGTACTGAATATTTATTAATTCCTTTGCAGAATGACTTGTTACAAAAGTTTCTAGATGAGATATGTTGATTCAGTTCATGGTCCTAGATTTATAAGATAATTTGCTATTTTTTATAAACTGTATATAAATACCTCATATCTTTGAGGGCTGTTTTTTACTACATTCTTCCTTATTCAAAAAATGAAACTTATACCACTTCATCATAGATAGATATCTTTGAAGAAAAAGGAATATAAACCAAAAAGGGAATATATTACTGAAAGATGATGTTGAAGTATGCAAGTATTAAAAATGAACATTACACCTTAAATATATACTTAAACATAATAATGAGGTTTCTTAATAGTAATACCAAACTCTGCCAAGGCTGGGGTCAAGTCTTCCATTGTCAAGCAGTATCTTCTATCCTTAGTTCCCTGTTTGTTCTGAAAAAAAAAATCGAGTAATATTAGAATATTCACAATAGGAGGGGAGAGTAGGTGCTACTTTTCGAGACAGAATACCAGTTCGAATCCCCTGGAGAATATGTGTTTTATGGCAAAACGAAGTTGACTGTTTTAAAACTTCCAAAGACTTCAGTTCACCTAAAGATGAGGTTTGTGATTACAATAAGCCTAGATTTTCATAAAATAACTTCATCGGCAGTAAACGTTTCTGCTTTCAGTGATTACTATAGAGTTGGGACAACAAAAGAATATACATGTCATCAATAAAATATGTGATAAAACACAAGATGAAACAGTTATTCCTAACATTCAATCGTGAGTCATCAGAAATTTTTTAGACAGACCAATTCATGACATTGCTATCGATGAAAATGCTATAGGAAGCTGTTATTTGGTTTTGTAAACTTTGCAGTAAAAATCTACCATTAAAGTGGTAGGTACCTGACTTAGTCAAATGTAGGTACCACTGGTTTAGATTTACAATAAAAATGTACTTTTTGCAAATTGGCTATGAAATATAAAGATCCATTGAATATGAAACAACATACCTTTGAACCTGTGTGACTTGAAGAATTTGTTGATCTCATTTTGCAATGTTGTAATGCATCATTGGCTATGTCTGATATAAATTTCTGAGCAGCAATTGAAATCAAACGAACCAATCTAGGATCTTTCGGTTCTAAACCTGAGCTCCTCAAATAATATGAAGTCACAGCATCGGGAATCTGAAAAATTAATTGATTATATAAATATATACAATTTTGGTGCCAACATCCTCCAGTAGGTCCTTGTAAGAGAAAGTTTTAAGATTCATTCAGATATTTCGTAATTAATTATTGGGACTTTTGAAAATTTACCAGTCTGGGTTTCAACATTTAATATAGTTACCCACCGTTGGTGTATAATCTTCTAGTTGCAGCAGGAAATCACTCAGTGGTTGACCAAGGGTTATGTTTTGATCCTCGATCATTTTTTCATCCTGATTATGATTCATCTCGCATAAAACGGGGGATATGTTTGAGCCCACAAAGTCAACACAATCACAGGTCAGAAATGATGTGCTCTTTTAAGTTTCAAGTCCTAAATTTATACACATTAAATTTGCACAATAAAAATATTGCAAAATATATCTCAGAATTGTGAATAATTCTTCTTCTTTTCCATTCGTTAGCATCTACAATCAGGGCTATCCGACCAGTTGGTAATTTGTAAAACCACGTGTGGTTACATTTAAGTGACCCTGTGAACTCAACTTTGCCAATAGATAATCAGTACATTCCTCAATGTCACAATCAAATTCCCCAACACAATTTGAAATTCATAGATGATGCAGTTATCGAAATATGTCGCTAGTATCTTGTTCTGATATTTAATTCATGAATCATCATGGAAAAAAAATCTCTCAACTAGTATCAATTAATTCTAAAATATTGACAGCATTAAAAATTGAAGTGCCTATTTTACATCGACAAGTTGCCTCATTTGAGTTGTACTCAGCACCTCTGTGAATAAAATGCCGAAATTTAGTGGATCTCTTCATTATTTGTTAATCAACAGTTTCCCACGAAATATTTTTCGAATGAAGAAGGTCCCACTAATCACACCAAGGATATTGTATGTATCTTGCTATGGACTCATAGACTAGGACAGTTTCTGAAAAAGAACTAAAATGTGAGAAGAAAAATTACTCCAAGCCACAAGGATCAAGCAAAATAATCTTGATTCACGTTGCATTCACGCATCTACAGATCTATGAAATTGACGAATGACAGTGAATCCAGAATTGTCCAAAATTTTTCAATATTTTTTATTATCCATGAATTTTCCAAACCACTATAAGATTCCCCAAAAGTTGAAGAATTCTGATTATTTCAAATTGAAAATATTTAGTCGAGTTCTTAAATTAACAAGTGAATTCACTGATAGATCCGATGGTTTCATCTATTGGTAATTCGAAATGTTGGACTTTACTATTTGAAGCAATCTATCAGAAGTTTTCTTTATGTCACGGTTCGATTGACAACCACAATATCACAGAATACAAAACTATTATTTCCCATTTTTGTTTATGTGTTTTGTGGATTGCAAGTTGTAATTTGTAATTTGTTGATGTGCGGTATGGTATGTACATCACATCTTTATTCACGTACAACTGCCAAATATTCTTTTTGAAGTGTTAAATTTGTAACATGGAGCCTAATTTATTGAAGATGTATCCTTTTGTTCATAAAAATATGTCAAGTGCATAACATAACCTCAATATTTTGTTTATTTTTTAAACGATGAAGCACTATTTGCATAGGAGCATAATAATGCTGAATAACTACCTCAATAAAATGTTTTCCTTATCGGTACATAGTGAAATCGAAGTACCTTTCACAAATGACAAAATTGCCCAGATAGCATATGATGTTTTAGAAGTCGATAAGGAACCAAAAAGAAGTGAAGTTATCAAAGTTCTCAGTACAAAAAAAAATATTTTGATAGCGTAAGTATTAAAAATTACATTTTTCACAAATTCAGTCAAACTATTACTGTTTCTAAATTCTGTTATGAAGTCTGTTAAATTTACTTCCGTAATTCAGGTTAGTGAATAATAATTTTTTTTCTTCAGCGTTTGCTCCAGCTATTATCAGCCTTCTAGCACAATTATTATGCTGAGTCAACATTGAATATTATTCTGGGCTAGCATCTACAAAGGTTGTTAATAAAATAATGATGTGAAAAGATTCATTTGCATACTTTTTTCAATTGTTTATCCAATCACGATATTGTTTAATTTTGAAAAATCATATCATATTAATTTGTATTCTATTGTCCTTACAAATATATTTTATCAGATACAAAATTTTCGACAAAAACTCTCTTATAGTCCCGATGGATCAGAAAGTACAACACTTTTTGTCTGCTATTATTTTAACTCCAAGCAACCCTTTGTACTATTTTACTAAAATTAATTTTCATTTTAAAAACCTATATGTTGAAACAAAATGACATTGCTATCGATGAAAATGCTATAGGAAGCTGTTATTTGGNGGCAGTTGAGAGTTGCTGTAAATGGTTTTTTTGAAAAACTGGACCTTGTGTCTGGATGTATAGAGCTTCTAGGACCACCAGTTAGTAAGAGTTACAGCCATTATTAAACATGCCTGAACACACTCCGGCTCCTACTCCCAGTAGAGCCGTCTACGGTTTTGTGATGTACCTCAGTTTCAGAATATTTTTCATCATTTATGTTATTTGGGCTGTGATACCTGAAGAATGGTTTGTGTCCATTGGAATTACTTTTTTACCTCAAAGGTACTGGGCTGTAGCCGTTCCTGTATATTTTTTAACGGTACTAACTATTTTTGCCTTCGTCATATACCCAGGTTTCGGTTTATACATGACTCCCAATGTCGATGATTTGAGAACTATTACGGATCATTTTGGCAAAAAGCTAAGACATAATTCAGATATTTTGACTCATAATCAGTCCAATAGTACAAAGTGTGTTTGTAAGAATAAAGATAACTGTTCTAAATCATATTATGAAAATATCAGCAGAACTTCAATTAATGAATATATTCCCCCTGTACAAGATTTGAAGATGTGGTATGTTTCAGATAGTTTATATCTAAAATAGGGTTACGCCTGAAGTCGTGTCACTGTTCATATTGATGAAAAATAAATGTTACAATAAACAATATTTCCATAATTGATTGTTTTATTTATTCTCCATCATTTGAATGTTATATGTTGAAATTATTTTAACAGTTACTCCTGTTTACCGACCGTAATACAAATGTTTCCATTCCAATACATATAAAAATTAAATTTAACAATGCGCGCGCACACTGAAAAATATGAGACCTTATAAAATCTGGATTCTTATAGATTTACGAAAATGTTTCAAACAAATCGGGAAACTTTCATGCATTTGAATACATAACCTCAAATAAAAGAGTCGTCACATCTATCTCTCAGTATTTTCTGTGTACAGGCTTTCCACAGAAGGTCGAGAAAATGGAAATGTTAAGAATGTTGTTATGGAGAATCGTCGAATCACTATTAGAAAAGTTGCTGAGGATCTCGGCATATCTGCTGGCTACACATTTTTTTCGAAAATTTTGAACATGAAGCTTTCTGCAGCGAAGTTCGTTCCAAAATTGCTGAATTTTTACAAAAAAAAAACCGTCGCATGAGCATCGCTCAGATATTGCAAATAATGCCATCATAGATAGGTATGTCTATATGAAGAAAATCCGAACAGCTAAAAAAAAAGATTAATGTACCGGGTCTGAAAACTTTACTAGTTATTACCATATAAAACCTCCCACATGAAAATGATAAGACAAACAATTATACCATGCCATACAAAAAACTGCCGACGTTCGGTAACTATTCAGTTTTTATGCCATTCGAATAGACTGCGTATATACTATATATGATTATAACATCAAAACCAAAGTCCAACCGTACCAGGCGGGTTGGCTGTCCTTGTTCATTTTTCACTGCCTGAACCACTATGCATGCTGTTTTTGGCGAGTGCATTGGCTTGGGATGTGGGGGCTGTGCAAATCGGATGCCTGCTTCCACGTAGCCCCGCTGGATACGGGAATGACAATCACTTGTGGTTCTTATTCCCTAACTGAATGGCGTCCCAACGATGGCTTAACCCTAACCTCTAACTTGTAATTTACAATAGAATGGATAATATGAATTTCTAACTTTTTAATCAGTCTTTTATTCAGCAATAAAAGTCTCGGTGTTAATTTTTCGCGGCGAAAACAACTAAACTCGTTTGATCACTGCACTATTCGCCACGACTTCCGCTCGACTTCGTGGCTCGCGCCGTACTGATTCATGTATTTGTTTTACTCGCTCGTCGCGCCGCAAGTCGCCCACGCGGTTCGTTTGGTACATTTCGCCGGTCGCCGTTGCGTGTGCCTTCTTAAGTACATTGCTATGCGTTTGTTTCAGTCGCTAAACGCTTCGCCGTTCGCACCACGCGATTATTCGCATCGGCGAGTGTCCCGTGGCCAGGCTGTAAATTTAGATTGAGACCGAGAGCTTCTCAACTTTCCAACTCCTGATCCAATAACTGAACCTAAAAAAAAAGGTTTGGTGGTGCAGCCAGGAAACGACTGAGTCGTCGCCTCAAGAGCGGGGTACCTTATGAAACCGCTTTGCACCAAATTCTTGAGCGGTGTACGAAGAATCTGCCCCAGCTGGAGGAACAAATTCCCCATGAGCAGGTTAGCAAACGTTTGCGCTCAAGTGATGATTCACCAAAACAAGAGGCGAAAAAGCCCTGCACGGTTGAATCTAAGGCATCGTCAGGTGTAGCTGACGTGCAAAAAGCCTCATGTGGGAAGGTTGTCGCGGGTATCAAGGTGGCAATCTTGCACCTTGATTATCCGACTACTTCATTAACGATGAAACAGCAGAGTATATACTATGTGCCTGCCCCGCTGGGGACCGAATCAGGTTTTTAGAGTTCGGCAGAGCCGTAGTCTTACCATCTGACCTGAAAGACCACTTACCATACAAACTAATCGGCTTCGTCAAAAATGTGGGTTTATTTGATCGAGTGTGAATAGGTGTGAGCCACAATAAACCCTTGCGGATTGCGGTGGATAGTCGAATAGACCCACTTACTTTGGACCTAACCTAACTAATCGTACCAATGGAAGAGCCAAGACCAAAAAAAGCAAGCAAAAAGCTTCGACGATTGTAAAAATGCTGACACAAGTTTATTATATCTGAAGGAACTACTTTGAAAGGAACAAAATAGAAATTGATGAATAAATATTTTTTGAGAAAAATCAAAATATGACTTATTTTTTGAATAGTCCTCGTATACAGTCTCTCAATTGAGTTTATGACTCCCCAAGATAAGTGTAAAATTTGCGGCATATAACGGTATTTATGCTTTTTTTTACCATGATTATCAGTTAACATTTTAAAGTCGTCTAGGCAACTTGAATGTTTTAATAAAACAACTAATTTTCCAGCAGTTCTTAGTAAGACTGTGCCTTCACGTAGGGATTTAAATATTGGTTTCAAGGTAGAAAAATAAATAGGTTTCAACAATTTATTACATTAACATGGTGTTTTCACAATAATATATACAGGAAGAAAACAACTTTTTATGAAATTCTACAGGACTCTGGCTCATGTTCAATGTTTTGGGTGATTTGACCTCCTTTAAGGACTGTGTTGACTACTGCTCTGGCTAAATATCCAGTTGAACTCGATTGAGGTACTTCTAGAAGATCACAGACATTTTCCTCCTTTTGGTCGTTATCCTGAAAATATTTGTCAGAATGTATGGCTTCAAATTTAAAAATATTGATCATTATTTGAAAGGAGAAACGAAAACATTGCATAGTCTGTGAACTGACAACAAACATTAAAAAGGATTAGTTGTACCTAGTAAAAATTTTTATACCAAAATTCCTTTAGTTTGCAGAGAAAATTGGAGGTGGACGTTCAAAAACATATAATTTTGAAATGTAAAGAAAATCTACTCTAAACACTTTTTCAATTTTATCGAAGGAAAGAAGGAACGAGAGGGATGTGCTATAACAAAGTTGTCAGGAACTGCTCTGAGCATTTTGTCAATAAATCTCAAGAATACTCAAAGACAGTGATTCAAATTGAAAAGATGTTGTACCTCATATAATTGTTTATGGTTAAATATACAAATAAAGTTGTTATATAGAGCATGGCCAAATGAAATTTGTAATCAGGAACTTCACGGATAATTATTTGGGTCTATAGTAGTTGATAAAATCTCATTACCATTGCATACATGTGAGCGGCATCTTTGATGAGTTGTTCCAAATCCAATTCCTTGTTGAACGTCAACTCAGGATTTCTTCCCAGTATTACTGACACTATTGTCAGTAGTTCGACTAGCAACTGCCGATGTTCTGGTCGTTGAACATGATTTAGCATCTGAAAATTTTACCAAACAGAAATAAAACATGCAAAAATTGTAGAGTTTACTAAAAAAAACCTTGAAATCTACCATACATCTGAGAAAACAAGCATTCAACCTTACCTCTTCAACCAAAAGAGAAAATGTTAGCTCAGATCGTGTCATATTGGAGAGGATTGGATGTTGTGGAATAACATTCTCTGCTACTCTTATACCCTGTGGAGTTCGAGTCATTATGTCCCAAACTTGATTATAGAAGGAAGATGGAACCCTGCATAAACAACCCTCCAGTTGTCTCTTTTGATGAGGGGTCGATCTGTAGAAAACACATTTGAAATATTCATATTTTAGTTTTGAAAAACTATTTTAGGGCATATAGAGATAATGTACAACAAACAAGGAGCATACTACACATCATTACTTGACAAGTTAAAGGCAGAACTTGCGGAAAACGGCCACATTTGCAGAAAAAGAATATCCTGTCTCACCAAGACAACACACTGTCTCACACCTCAGTGGTTGCCACAGCGAGTATCCACGAATTACGGTTTGAACTGCTTGACCATCCGCCTTACTCACCAGATCTAGTCCCAAGCGACTTTTTTTTGTTCCCTCATCTAAAAATTGCGCTCGGAGGACAGAGATTTTTGCAGAGAAAAATGCCGAGTACTATTTGAGCGATGCTCCCATCTCTTAATAGAGATGGGAGAAATGTGAAGAGTTAAAAGTTGACTATGTTGAAAAATTTTTAAAAATCTGAAAAAATGTCTAGTATCTTTAATAATTGTGAAAGCTATTGTGTAACGAAACACGTGTCACGGTTACAGTATTTTTACTGGGGTTACTACTTTTACTACTAAATTTATTTACTTTTAATCTACATTAAAAGAATAAGGGTGAAGCAATTTGGACAATCTCTATTTTTATTCAAGGTAAATCGTATATATTTCTTTACTGATGTCAATGTGAAGTGTCCGAGGCATAATAATTCAAAAAGCAGTAAACTCAATACACAAAAATGAAAACTATGTCCACTAAACTTCATTTTCACTTGTGAAATTAAAACACTATCAACAAATTATTTTCTCCCTTCGGATTACCTTTGTTATAACACTTACTTTTCTTCACTACACCATTCATCGATGGATAAAACCCTGTATAGAAGCTGTCTGACTTCATAAGGACTGTGGTCTTCAAGTTTCTTCTGGTCACCAAATATATTCAAGTATAATTTGATGGCTTCCAAGACCCATCCCACTCGAATTTTCAGAATACCTCTAAACAATTCCGGGTTCGTGGATATCAAGCGTCCACAATATAAAATTATTTCTTGTTGCAAAACTGCCTGTATGACATCATAGGGCTGTATTGTATTGTACACCACTGACTGTATTTCCGCTGGCGTCAAAGGTTTATCGAAAACAGTTTCTTTCTGCCCCACGACACCCACTGTGAGCTAAAAATAATAAAAAGTCATTGTCTATTATAGGAATATCTAGTGGTAAGAGGTGCATATGACATGCCCAAGTTAAAATGAAAAACATCTTACCCCTTGCCTCTCATGTGAACCTACGTAGGTTCACATGAGGGGAAAGGGGTAAGATGTGCATATGGCATACCCAAGTTCAAGTGAAAAACACCTTACCCCTTGCCTCTCATACGAACCTACGTAGGTTCACGAGGGGAAAGGAGTAAGATGTGCATATGACATGGCCAAATCCAAGTGAATAACACCTTAACCCTTGCCTCTCATAAGAACCTACGTAGGTTCACATGAGAGGGGATAGGGATAAGATGTGCATATGACATACCCAAGTTCAAGAAAGAAAAACACCTTACCCCTTGCCTCTCATGTGAACCTACGTAGGTTGACATGAGGGGGAAAGGAGTAAGATATGCATATGACATGGCCAAATCCAAGTGAATAACACCTTAACCCTTGCCTCTCATACGAACCTACATAGGTTCACGTGAGAGGGGATAAGGATAAAATGTGCATATGACATGCCCAAGTTCAAGTGAAAAACACCTTACCTCTTGCCTCTCATGTGAACCTACTTAGGTTCACTTAAACTTCTACTACAAGTAAAACAAATTATATCTCACTGACAGTACCTTCTTTTGTCAAATTATGCGGGATCGAAGAAAAACAAACCTTTATTGCATTAAAATGATCAAAATAATTCTCATACATTATGCATAAATCCATTATTATTGGTATTTATATACTCAAATTCAGTCAACTAATTTTGCAAGGTATGCTTCTCCTTACTAACCTGCTTTCCATGCACTAAAACGGCTGTTATAAAAGGACTTATAGAATCTACGTTATGATTCAACAAGCTACTGGTGTATCTAACGGCCGCCCAATGTCTCAAGCACCCTGCTTGATGATACAAACTTTGAAGATGTTCCTCCACCGCACGGTTCAGTACCCGGAATTGAGGACCCTCTCTTTTCAGCAGAATTCCGAACAGTTGACACCTTGCAAATAAGCTTTCGATTGCGCTGATACCTTCTACAATTTCGTATGTTGACTTGAACTTAAATGACTGAAATATTAAGATTAATGACCTATTCAACATTCCGTTTGAAGTACCTACACTATAATCCTTCAGTTCGTCGTTGTAATCCATCATCCTAGGAATGTCCGTCAAACTTTGGTAGCCTATATAATCGTGTTCCAACTGCTTGAAATGTTGGTAGTCATCGGTAGGGTTATCCACAATATGCATAAAATCCAAATGTTCTGGAAAATAGAATAATACTTCATTTTCAGAAAAGCTCCACTTCTACGGTACGTGAAGAATTAGGAAATACAGTCCACTTATATTGATAATCAAAACTCCTTATGATATTGGTAAAAAGAAAAGTTTCAGTCTCCAACTTGGTGCGAGGTTTCTATGATTAAGAGAAGTTTTGAATTGATTTGCATCAATAACTTTAAAAATCATTTATATTTACTATTACTAGCTGACCCGGCAAACGTTTTTTGCCACATAAATTATTTCTATCAGAGCAACAACACTTACAAATAATATTAATCTCTTGATGCCGGTGTGTACAATATTTTGTCATTAGTCCGTGTTAAGCTAACACAAACTGAATGGTTTGCCCACTGGAGAGCACGCTACGTATAATTGCTCATGTGAAAAACATGGTGTGCTCAAATCCAAGCCACAAACGGACATTGTTTGGCCATGAGACTTATTAATAGTCATGGCAAATGCCAATCTAATTGGAAATTGCACAATTTTAAAATGAATTAGCACATTCATTAATTTTTGAATGATTAATCGTGTGCTGTTGCACAGCCGTGGTGGATCCAATTCACGGAGCGATCCAACCTTCAGTCAGAATACTTTTTGCAATGCTTCATCAGAAAGTCTCACATAATTTTAGGTAGTCCACATTTTTGATACATACTATTAGCAAGAGTTGAAACTAAAATATCATTAAATCATAAAATCAATACAAAAAACTATCACCAATGATAAAAGTACAACTCACCAACACAAGAACTTGAAATAAGATTCTGCAGCCTCCCTATCCTAACTTTAACACTATCACAGTATCCCTTCTTCAGCATCGCAAGCAAATCTAACATTTTCTTGAATTGAGGATCTCTCATATGCTCCTCCCTAATAAGCAGACATACAGTGGGTCTTCCAGACAATCTCCAGTATCTTCCAACGAACTGTAGCTCCGTTTTGATGTCATCAATCAAGAGTGCCATATCTCTGTAGAGATAGAAATCCGATACTTCAAATATAATTGGATAGCACAGAACCGTAGAGCCTGCTATCCTGTATATTTTACTGGTGCCCAAGCTTCCAACGGGTCTTACGGGCCTTCCATGTAGATTCAGCTTTTGGTTGACTCCCAGATTTTCATAAACCTTGACTAGCTGCGTGGACGACCAGATCTGAACCGGTTCTACCTCGTGCGGAGTCTGAGTTTGTATTCCGTAAGTGGCCATCATCGCCTGAAGTCGCATCGACTCAGCTATGAGTACGATTTGGACCACCAGATCAGTCGCTGTACCCTGTCAATAATTTTTTTGTATCTCATTAAGGGTTGAATTGCTAGCAGGGACTTCTCATTGATCTGTTAAGAAAACGTCAATCTGAAGTTTTTTCAAATTTCAAAGATTTTTGACGTGATCAAAGATAGTAAACTTTCATAGGAAGAGATAACTGTGTGAAAGCTATTTTTCAGGTTTTTCCTGCGTATTCTGCAGGAGTATGCCTTTTGTTTCGTCTACTACTGCGGTATACTTTATCAAAGTCGATGTGGATAGTAATTACTATCCAAGAAAAACACAGGAATAATTATTAGAAAATGAGAGGAAATTAACATCAATTAAACCTGGCTACCTGTCCTTACAGCAAACCGGCCATCGGATGCCCGCTTCCACGTAGTCCCGCTTGATACGGGAATAACAGAATCACTTGTGGTTCTGTTATTCCCTAACTGAATGGCATCCCAACGATGGTTCAATCCTAAGGTGTGGGTACCCGTGCCAAGAGGATGAATGACACTGAGCCTATCAGCTGTCTCTACGGAACCTTCGAGATACCAGGCGCCCTCTCGTCGTAGCATCGCCTTGTCACGGTAATGCGGGGCTCTGCCGTGTTTGACCTTCTTTCCCTAGCTACTAGTGGGACTTTAATGGACAGAGTAAACTTAAAAATTATTTCTGACACTGAGCCTACGGAGGAGTTGGATGTCGAGCTTACGACTCCAACTGACCTTCCTGTAAATTTAGATCAGGAGCGAGTCTACAGAGGAGATGGATGTCGAGCTTACGACTCCAACTGACCTCCCTGTAAATTTAGATCAGGAGCGAGAGCTTCTCAACTCTCCAACTCCTGATCCAATAACTGAACCTAAAAAAAAGGTTTGGTGGTGCAGCCAGGAAACGACTGAGTCGTCTCCTCAAAAGCGGGGTACCTTATGAAACCGCCTTGCACCAAATTCTTGAGCGACGTACGCAGAATCTGTCTCAGGTGGAGGAAAAAACCCCCATGAGTAGGTGAGCAAACGTTTGCGCACAATAAATCCTTGCGGGTTGTGATGGAGGGTCGAATAGACCCACTCACTTTGGACCTAACCTAACCTAACCTGTCCTTACAGCACATAAACAAGGTCAGATAACCTCTTTAGAGAAACTAATACGCCCGCTAGTAAAAATATAAAACCAAAGTCAAATACCAACATCATAGTTAATGCGGATACAACGACTGCAGTACCAACTAAGGCACTGTGACCATTACTACATCGCCTTTGGTAACATCTGGTAGTAGCAGTAGTAAACGAAACGTCAGACATAAAAACCTGCAGACCTGCGAAAAAATCCGGATAATAGTTTTCACATACATAAATTTCCGAAGTCTCAGAAAAATAACTTTTACACACTATATAATATATCGATGTTGTGTTTAATTGGTAGACTGACAGCTTTTTTAACAAATGAATGAGATAGTCTTCAGAACGTGCATTCCGTTCATCGTCATTACAAGATAATTTTTCAACCAATCATGCAAGTGATGATAAATCATGCACCGATAGATGATTTTACATTAATGAAAGTAGCTTTCGCTAGAGGTTTACAAAGTAATGGTAAAAATGCTCTACAGAAAAAAATATTCATGCAAAATCCACATTTTTTGAAGTAACCTTCTCAAAAGTAACTAAGATATCTACAACATCGTAAACTACGTGGGGCCACTCATTTTCATGAAGTAGTGAAATTTTGTTATTGTCATTGTGCGACAGCTTTTTCTCGTGATGATGAAACATTGTGATCAAAACCAATAAAGTGTTTCTTGAATATATAAAAAGTAATAATATATTTCGTAACCAAATGACCCAAATTTCTAGAAATATCAGAGAAAAAAGTACAATAGAAAGGACAGGTCTGTGAATAGAGAAGATATAGGCAAAAATAAAATTAGAATGTACCCTTCTCACAGACAGTCAATAGTTTTTTTTTTAAAGAACAGAATCTTCTGTCGAATCGTTGGTAGCTGATTGTTTTATTAGGTTTAGGACCTGATAAAAACTAATGTTTCATAATGAAACTCTCAACTGCCTCTGAATGAAGGTAGTTACTTTATACTGATGCGGGTGTGTTGGTTTTACCCAAACAGAAACAGTGTCAGAAAAAAACTAAGCCTCCATAACAGACAGTTAATTAAATTTACTAAGCACAACATATGTAGCAGTTGAGGAAATTTTTTTCCTGAAAATTTTACAATATTTGAAAGTATTTGAAACACCTATTGATGCCATTATTTAAATGTCCGCCAGGGCTTCTTTGGGTGAAGCGCATCCGAAACATGCAATTTTCCATTACTTTATCGCTCTATTTCATAAATCAGGCTGAATGGGCATGGCTTATGTTGACCTTGAGGACCGCTGTGGTTTTTGGCTCATTCGCATATACCAGCGACTTAAGAAAACCCCATAAGAAAAAGTCTAACGGAGTGAAATCGCACGATCTCGGTGGCCAGTTCACATCAACTCCACATGAGATGACCATGCCCTAAAATCGCTTGTGCAGAATATCCAATATGGCATGAGCTATGTGGTTTGTAGCGCCGTCCTGTTGAAACCACATGTCGTTGGTGTCCAGATCATCCAATTCAGACCAAAAGAAGTTGGTAATCATCGACCTATAGTGCTGGCCGTTGACAGTGATGGTCTGGCCAACGTCGTTCTCAAAGAAATATGGACCAATGACGCCGCAAGCCCAAAATCCACATCAAACACTGACTTTTTCGGGATGCATTGAACTCTGTTGCATCTCATGTGGATTGTTATCGTTCCAAATTTGACACACGTCGTTGTCTATGGTCGTTTACCTTCAGTTCGTGGGTCAGTTGAATTTTGTACGGGTGCAGGCCCAAGTCACAAAGCAAAATTCGTCAAGTTGTGGTCTGCGAAGGCCGAGTTTTTGTGAGCGACGCGAAATCGATTGCCTTGGATTCTCCTGCACACTCTCACAGACGGCTATGTTTCATTGTACGGGTGTTGGTGGATGGTTTACTGAACCAGTGCCAGTGGACTGAAATTTATTCACCACATTGCGAATAGTCCTCTCGGTAGGACGAGTATGGCGACCGTAAAATGGGTGAAGCGCGCGGTACGTTGCCCGAACAGAACCCCCATTTTGATAAAATTATTTTATTATTTGCATGTATTGTTAAATGTTATATTCGTCCATGGTGATTTGGCAAAACAGACCAACAAGATGGCCGTTAACAACTGTCAAAGTTCGGAAATCTTTGTTGGAAGACCCTATATAATGAGCAATAGATTGAGATGAGTTTTCCAAACATCACATAATAAGTACTCTTGGTGTTTCACATGTCCCATAATGTTCAACACAGACAATACCATCTCACCTTCATGCAAATCATCGATCATAAAAGTATCTTTCACTGACTTCCGTCTCTAATGTTCATATTTATTGGTTGTGCAATTCTTCTGATTTGGAAAATAAACCAACTTTCAAAATGTTCTAAAGAAAAATAACAATATGTACCTACTTGTTCCAAAATACATATTCACAAATAATCATGCCAAGCTACTAAATAACTACTGTACTACTTACAAAATTTGGTTTTGCCTGGTCATTGGAAAGCATGAAAAAATATGGTCATTAATAACTTAAGCACACTGTGAAAGAATTAGCGATATTCCAAAAGTGATCATTTGAGAAAATGTAGAATAGCAAAGTTAATCAAGATTATTTAAAGCAAAATTAATGTCAAACTCATCACCCCAAAAATTCCAAAATGTACTAATTTTATCAACTTTGTGTAACTTTTACTATGATTCAGGAATTTTATTATTCAACTGTCTGTAATCAAATGAGTTTTGTACAAATCACACTAATAAAAAATTGGAATTATTTACACGTGAAAATCTGCAATGCAATAATGATTGAAGAAAAGAAATGAAAATGAAATGTCAACTTACTCCTTCTGAAATGAGGTTATTTAATTTCTCACTCTAGACTGTTTTATTCAACTGATACATGATATTTTATGCACTCCTTTTCTTCCTAGCACTTTCTATCAAAATTTTCGAAATTAATAAAGTGAAAAAAATAATGGAAAGCATGTGAATTAGAAAATTTCAAATCTTCAATTCTGATTTGAAAACTGGGGAAACATCGTCTTCTGTTTCTCAATGAACCAAGTCGTTTGACGAAATTTCCATGAAGTCATTGTGCCGTCAAATTGAATTTAGTAAAAGTAGGTCTCACGGCGCCATTTGAAAGAAAATAATCACTTTATTATATCGTTGAAAAGAGACTTTGATATTCTATGAAATGATTTGAAATATCATATAGGGTTCTATCCAACATTTTAGACTTGGATTCCGATTGGACCGAAATAGGTTTTCAATTGTTTTTTCATTAGAAATTACGACTCCAATGCCCTACGGGGTCTGTTAAAATAATAAGGTGAATTTTCTTTCTTCTCAAAAAATATTCATTTATCATCAATTTCTATTTCGTCCCCTTCAAAGTAGTTCTCTACAGATATAATACACTTGTGCCATCATTTTTGCAATACTCGCAGCAGTTCTGATAGGTATGTCCTTTTTTGTATGTCCATGAGGTCTCTCAGGACGTCCTTTCATGCGTTTCTTCAATCTTGGGAATAGGAAAAAGTCGCAGGGAGCCAAGTCCGGTGAATACGGTGGTTGAGGCATGATAACGGTGTTGTTTTTGGCAAAAAAATTACAATCAAGCAATTACGAGTGAGCAGGCACAATACCGGACATTTTCTTTGTATTGTTTTTCTCAAGCGGAGCATAAATTCAAGATAAAACTCCTTATTAACCGAACGACCATTGGTAAGATCTCCTGATGCACTACACCACGGTAATCGAAGAAAACAGTGGGCAAAACCTAGACAATGGATCGAACTTGGCGTGCTTTATTGATCTTGGTTCCCCTGGGCTCTTGCATTGGGACGATTGCATTTAGGTTTCAATGTCATAACCATATAGCCATGATTCGTCACTAATTATGATCTTTTTAAGCAAATCTGAAAAGCCGTTGACGTCAATCAACAATTCGTGAGCGAGGCTCATGCAACGTTATTTTTTTACTAATTTACGAAAAAGGCATGAGCCAACCGATAAGCCGACATCCTCAGCAACTCCCCTAAGAGTGACTCGACAATTCTTCATAACAATTTTCTCCACTTTCCCAACATTTTCATCAGTTGTTGACGTGCTTAGGTGTCGAGGGCAAGCATCGTCATTCACATCTTCTCGACCTTCTGTGAAAAGCTTGTCCACTTGTAAACATGTTTCTAACTCAAAGTACAAGCACCGTATGGCACTGTCAACAAAAAAAAATCGCTAATCGAATATGCGTAGCCCGCGAATTTTGAACATTCACATCATTTTTTGAACCGACCTCGTATATCTTCGTTCCGAATTTCAAATTTCTTAGTCCAGATAAAACTGAATGGAATAGAATATTTTTATTGGTTTTAAAATAAACATTATATAAAATATATCGAAGTAAGTACGTAGGTTTCACAATATCAACAATTTAAAGTTTTCATTTCATTTTTTCAGAGACAATCTAAAGATTATATTTCATTTCAAATCTACTGTTAAGGACTTCATCGTAGCTATAGAAGGCTTTGTTTGTTAAATAATCTTTCAACGCAATTTTCAGTGTTTTAAGATCCCTGATCTGGCAAGATAGTTTGTTGTAGAATTCTGGAGCGACCTGTACAATGATTTTGATGTCACCCAGGATATATATCACATCTAACAAAATGTTATCTTTGAGAAATAATAGGATCCTGTGATATATCAATACTGGTCGTCATGTATATATTATAAATGACAGTATAATATATCAATAGCAATACACTGATATGTCAGTTCATATTTACAACAATATTCTCTACCGCGGTATAAAAACATCAATTCGCACTTCTTCAATTATTGTTGCATTGTTTCGATTTCAGATTCGTTTGAAGCATAGTATTTACAGCAGAAATACAGCAGTGTTTTTTCTTTTGGAATTACCGAACGAAAGAAGCTTACCTGAAAAGCAGAATAGCGCCCTCCCTTTCTCGGTCTATTATAAGATGGCAAATATCTACGAATAGGATCAAGTTCATTGATATGTAACAGACCTTCTGTCAGTAGCTGCGCCAAAATGAACATGGACTGATTCCACAGAAAAAGGCCACCCTCGGTGTTTGGTTTTTTCTTAGTGGTATTGGGTTCGCATTGTTCCTTTTCGATATTTTCCTTGGGAACATAGTAGTACATTGGGATTACTGGATCTGTTGAATATAATACCATCAGGCCAATGATTATTTGTGTTACAGAAATATGAGTTCTCTGCAAGCCCCCAAAAATTAATTTTTAAAGTTCCCGCCAAAAAAGTCAACAAAATAAACAGTTGAAACTGTACCAACATGAAAAATAAACAAAAAAAATTCGCTAATCTAATGTAGGTAGCCCGTGAAATTTGAACATTCAACATATTTTTTGAACGGACCTCGTACACCAAATTTCATGAAGAATAAAACTGTTTGAGACACTGATAATAAATTTTCCATGTAGTGCAAACATTTTGGTGGACACTTTAGAGCTTGAAAAATGTACCTTTCCGGTGTAATATAATTATCAAAAGTCATACTCACCTCCATGATGATCCACCATTATTCTTTCCTTCAGTAAGTCTTGGTATTCCTGAATTTGGTCAGGAAGTGCCTTGAAGACACCATCAATAATCATGAATATATAAAAGAGAGGCCACTCACATTCAATATTTTCGAAATTTTTAATTTCACTTTTTTGATAATACCTACAAATAGTGTGTTAGTAAAATGAATAGTGTGTAAAGCAAGGGCGTACCAAGTGAGAGACGTTATTGCTCACATCTAGAAGGCAACTATTTAAAAAAATTAATGTATACGAGGGGTGTCCCAGAAGTCCCCGGTCTGACCTAGAGATGGCGGTAGTTGTTTGAAAAATATCACTGTATTAGAAAGTACACAACTCATAAAGCACATGTTTCAAATATGAAGACGCTGCGTTATCTAGTATTTGTTTGGCAACCATCAATAGCGAACGTGTAGGTAGTACAATACTTTTATTTGAAAGGCCTCAGCCCAATCAATATAAAAGTTGAACTGGATTCCTCTCCGAGTAAGTCTGCTCCTTCGTTTACAACAGTAAAACATTGGACAGCAGAGTTTAAACGAGGTCATACGAGCTGCCAAGACGAGTATTGCAGTGATCGTCGACTGGAAGTGCGCGAGCTTGCAGACTTAGTAGGAATTTCAAAAAGTGCGGTACATTGTATATTATCTGAAAATGTGGACATGAGAAAGCTGTGTGCAAGATGGGTGCCGCGTTTGCTCACACTCGAGCAAAAACAGTGTCTTGACGATGTTTCAGTTGAGTGTTTAGCTAAGTTTCACAGTAACAAAGCAGAATTCTTGCGTCGTTTCATAACCCTAGATGAAACATGGGACCATCACTTTACAGCTGAGACAAAAAAATACAATCAAAACAATGGACTCAAAAGGGAGAAACAGCTCTGAAGAAGGCGAAGACCGTTTCGTCTGTAGGCAAGGTCATGGCATCGGTTTATTGGGATGCACGTGGGAAAATTTTCACTATCTTAAAAAAGGTAAAACTATCAACGGCGAGTATTATGTGAACTTATTGCAATGTTTGAGTGAAGAAACCAAGCAAAAACGCCCGCAATTGGCTAAGAAAAAAAGCGTTGTTTCATCAAAACAATGCACCAGCTCACAAATCCATTATCGCAATGACCAAAATAAACAAATTCAAGTTTGAATTGATACCTTATGCACCCTATTCGCCAGATTTAGCCCCCTCGGATTATTTTCTGTTCCCAAACTTGAAAAAATGGCTCAGTGGTCAAATATTTTCCAACTATGAAGAAGTGATGTCGGCAGTTACAGGTTGAGCGCCAACTACTCCGATCGGAGTATAAGGGCATCTGTCAGCGATGCCACCTACTCCGATCAGAGTGTCGTGTATGCCTAACTCCCAACTTGTAAAGATCAGTATTCATTCGGCGTAAGCTAGAAGAAGTTTTAGCTGAACTGGTGTCCTTCTAAAAACATTTGTTGAGCACGTGTTATAGTTGGTAACGCGGTTTTTATTATTTGTATCGTTAAACAAGGATGCCAAACCTGGACCTTCTGGATTGCAGAAAAAAAAACTTAATTCACATGTGTACAGTAGGAAAGCACTCACAAATGAAGAATTATTGCAGTGTTTAGAAGATAGCAGTGGTGACGAATATTTTCCAGAGTACGAAGTCACAAAGTGCCCCCTAGTTGAGATCCTGGGTACGCTCTTGCTGTAAAGAGAACCAATACCTGCTGTTTTTATCTTCAAGTTCGCTCTTGTAACCATCCCGAATGTATCTCTTGAAGCCATAGTTACCTTTTAAACATCGGATAACATTGTGTTTCGTTTCCTGATACAAGCTTTCTTCATGAGTGGAAAATGCAGGAAATGATATCGTTGGCAATAGTGAAGAATCAACATCCTAATTTGAAGAGACAAATGTGTCAGCTCTGAACCATAAAAACTTTCATAAAGAAACTTATTATTACCTTTGTACACGATTCTCTAGGCAAAAGAGTCTCGAAAATACTTCTATTTCGATTATGGGCGTCTATATCGACATAAACAACACTCCAGGAGGCCCCTTTTTCACCAAACAAATTGCAACCATTTATAGCCTCGAGCGCTGACTTAGCGAATCCTATTGAGCTGGCGTGAATTTCAGGAGTCCCATCGTTGTATTTACAACCTCTTTCCCACATGCCAAAATCTGGTGTACGGTACGCTCTTTCAACATAATACACTAGATTTTGCACAAATGCTACTTCATCCTGAAAATCACATTGACAACATTCGTAATTGATGAACTTTTTGAGTGATGAAAGACATTTCGTCGAGTTGTTAGTGAACTTGAAATGTGTTGCCCATCCTTGCACTTGGCTGCACCATACTGATGAAGGGACACTAGCCCGAAACACGTGTCTATAGTTTGTCCTTTTTTTACAAAAAAGATAAGCATGTATGTAAGCTTTGAAATTTGAATTTATTTCTCAAAGGTTGCTATAATTACTTTCATCTAATGATTTATAAGATTCCTCTAATATATTAACCCACATTCACAGAATATTTAATCAGGTTTTGTATATTTAGCTTCTTATTGAAATATTTTCAAAATTTTCAGTCTGATGAAGTTGGATATCACTTCTGAACTTCTGGTTATTTGGGTAAATCGCAAGGAAAAAGAAAATTTTATTCCAGATATCGTTTCAAATGAAAAGATTGAAACAACAAGCACCTAGATGAGCACAAAATGAAAGATTATATTACCTGTGTGTAAATGATCTGTAGCCCCGAAGTGATCATTTGCACTAGAAACAACAGATAAATGGAAACAACATCTATTTGCAAATGATTGTATTCATTGTCATTGAAGATTTCATATCCTGTAATCATATGAAACTTAACGTGTAAAGCATGAGAGCTGCATTGCTTCTGTTTGAACAGCTCTATTCGTTTCGACTGCCTCTCCCAGCACTCCAAAATGCCTCTCATGCATTTTACTGCAGATTGTCCTAATTCATATGATTTACCTCTATCATCATCTATTCTCCTGAAACAGTTTTAATTACATCAGTAAAATAAGCATGTCAAACCAACATACAGAAATTTTATACTAGTGACAACAGGTGAATTAATACGAGGTCTATTTAAAAAAAAATAAGATGAATGTTCAATAGAGTTATCATGCTTCAGCCACCGTATTCACCAGATTTGGCACCCTGCGACTTTTTTCTGTTCCCAAGACTGAAGAAACCCTCAAAAGGAGGTTGAAGAGATAAAAAGAAAACTGAAAGTTAACTAAGACTTAAAAATAATGGCAGATTGCTTCCTCAAATTTTAAATAGTCATGTAGAGAAAAATTTCAAGAGCTTGAAATAATTGATTCTGGAACTGTAGGTATTTCCAAAATCAAACTTTAAAACATTTAACTTATAGTTGGGTTGATGAAGGAGACAAGTATCCGAGACTCACCTGTAAGCTTGAAATAAACCCCAGACGGCAGCAGCACAGTAAATACTATCACGAACGCTCCCCACTTCTGTATCATTTGATAATACTGGAAAGAGACCAGTTATGGGACTTTGATAGCGAAGTAATTGGCGTTTGACTATAAAAAAAGTATTTCATTTATTGCTTATTAAATCGTCAAAACTTTGCTTTGAGAAAAAAGCTAACCCATTCCATAGTATATATCAAGCTGCCTTACTGTGTCCTCATAATTGGAAATCTTCAAAAATTGGTCTAAGTGAGTGCTCTCATCAACGCTGCTGTGTCTTGTAGTCCTGAAATGTTAAGTGTAAGTATGAGATATAATAATTTTTTTGACTTACTTTTTCTCTTGAAAACCCATTGGAGACTTGATTTCTTCGAGATTATAAAATTGTTGAAAAGGACTTCATAACAAAACGTAACCTAAGGCACAAAGAACTTCAGAATGATGAACAAAAAATGTATAATCTTCTTAATTTTCAGAAATTGGCATTTGCGAATGGCGCTTTTAAACAGGTTAGTTTTAGATGTTTTGGCTTATTTAATTTGATGTGTACTCATGTTTTCATTACCCTAATCAAGTTTGTAATGGATTTGTACTAAAGCTAATCATTGTTATCAACTTCCTGTACTAGAATTCGCAGAGCATGTTCAATTTAGAGGTAGGACCTCTTTTATTCTTAGCTTTCACAAGTTTAGACTTCTGAAAGTTGCATATGGAAATGACAGCTGAACCAAACTGATAAGAAGTAAAAAATATACGAGCTTTCATATTCACAGATGAACTTATCGATCCATCAAAATCGATTCTCTTATTTTCTGATGGATTTTAGTTGTATCATCCAACACATTATTAAATCTCTGATTAGTTCCTCCGGTGTCACACACCAATCAATCGAGATTTGTAGTTGATGGATTTGATTACCTTGGCAAATTACCATACACAAAATTTGAAGAATAAAATAAATTTTTTCTCTCATCCTGAGCTACTGAAATTTATCGTATATTCAAATAATATTTCTATGCATTTCATATGATTGGTATCATCATACATATTTTATGAACAATTTTTGATCAGATAAATTTTATCAGAAACTATTTCGTTACTGCTGTTCTAGAATTCCATTCATTTTTATCTCTGAGAAGCAGTGTGACAATTTGCTGACACCGATTTTTATCAAAGAAACAATCCGAATGTCTTACTCATCATTGAGAATTAACAGTAACAATTGCGAATTCACATTCAAAGACTTGAATTCACAGCTAAATACAATAGCGGTCACCTGAAAATCCATTAATTAGTGGTTATCTCCGGAACATACTTATTTGATTATCGAGTTCGGTAGCCGATCGGATCGATGTGGGTGCTTTGTTCACTCACTCAATTGACCACCGTGTTGGTCGGTGGTTCAAGTCACAGGCTGAACGATAGATTTCATTTGTTATCGCCCGACCCCTGTTAGGAATCACACATTAAAAGGTAAGACGTCGTAATTCCTTAGCTCGCACAAGTTTTAACTTTTGAGGGTTGTCGTCCGTAGGGGTGCGACAGCTGGTTAACGGAGAAACATAAACATTTTTTTTTAACAAGTGAATATTCAAGATGGGTTCCAAAATTGATCAAAAATGTGGTTTGATGATTCTAAATTAACCACTATAGTTTTACTAAACTGAAAACTAGGGAACTAAACGTCAAAATACCAACCAATGATTTTATTTAAAGATGTTTCACATAGAGCTGTCTTTTTGTTTTGGTTCAGTCACTATCTATGGTTACGAGTACAGAACATGAACAACTGATCGTGACATTTGCTGTAACATTTGTCAAATTTTCAAATAAGAAGAAGAATTTAGTGTACTGAAGTGTGAAGTACTGAGTGAAGTAAATATCAACATACAATATTTTGACTTATGTTTCGTAAAGTTTAGGTTTTATCGAAAAGGAAATGTTTCCTCATCAGAAAAGTTGTTGAAATCTTATGGAATTGGCATTGTGTTCAAAGCTGTTCACTTTTCATATCTTTCGTTTCATTTGCTTCATTCTGCCCAATTTGGCATATGAGTCATACTTTGGAATAGCTATGGGTTTCTAAATATTCATTCCACACTGTGAAAATGTCTTCAAGAGACAAGGAATATGGAATATTTATTAAAAACGATTTACTCAAGTCTCAAAGAACGGTTCTGCAGGGGCAGATTGTAATAATCGACCATAAAGGAACAGATGGAAATCTTACAATAAGATGCTTGAAGGACAATGAAACATGGGAAACTACACCTTTTTATTGCTCACAGCAAAATATAGTACGCATCAGCGCCAAACTTTGGCCCTTCATAGCATCGATCACATCTCCAATTGAACGAATGAAACTTGCAAAAAACAAAGAGTTATGCGATTTGTTGAAAAATGTCTGCAAAGAAATGGTGGTTGGCTTCAGTGATACCAAAGATATTTACCTAGGGACTGTTAAGTATATAGGATCTGTGAAAGGTATGGGTTACTGCTACGGATTAGAATTGCATGTAAGTAACCAGAGAAAGATACTTTTCTTCTATTACTATACACATTTATTCACATATATTATTACAATATTATGGTGTATTTTGAGAAACATGATCGTTACAGATAGTTGATGAGATATTGGAATTTGTTTGACTAACATCCTTTCTTTTTCCTTCGGTAAACTTCTCATTTTGTCTTTGGAACACAAATTTGAAGCTACTGTAGGAAGGAATTTTGTATCATATATTATTTTAGCATTGTACTTAGTGAACAATGGAAATGGTCAAGTCTAATATCTGTTATCAAAAATATATACTGCATCTGTTATTTAATGATGACAAAGATATCTTAGATAATATTTAAAATAGTAAATTGCAAATAGGTTTCCTAGTTGACTTGTGCACCAATGATGTAAAAATATAAATTGTAATTAACTGTATTAGCACAGGCCTTGTGTTCGTCCTACTTTTTGGTAGGAAAGTAAGAAAAGGTTCAACTTTCTGTAATGTTTCCCCACTTTGTTCTACTTTTTCACCAGAAACTGAAAGTTAACTAAGACTTAAAAATAATGGCAGTAAAAACAGCCCAGTCTCTTATTCTGCATATGAGTTGAAAATATCTTCCGATTTGACATTTGAATTTTAGCCACAGAACCTCTCGTTAGTTGAATTTCATCAAGAATTCTGTTAATTTTCATTTTTTGTTCTCATACTGAAAAATTATTCTGTTCAAAACTATTAAAAGTATTCATCATCTTGAATACAGGAATATTTTCGATTCTGAGAAATGTTTTAGTCATTGTTTAATTTTTTGTAAATATACTTTGAAAATCCTTTTACTTTTATAACTGAAGTGCCTAATTTTATAATTGACTCAACTGTACATTTCGATAACATCAAACATCATAAATCATGGAGCGTGATTACTGAGACAGAATTATACTTTTTTATCAGCAAGAATAAATATGGTAAAATACTTGGCTAACAAAATAGGTATCTAAATACTGCATGAAATTCTGAATATACGAGGTGTGTTGAAAAAATAAGGTGAATTTTGATTTTTTTCAAAAAATATTCATTAATTTAGCAATTTCTGTTTTGTCAAAAATGATGCTACCCAATCTAGAAAAACACCCCTCAATCCGTAAGAATGCATTTTATCTAGTACCTTTGTATTATCGACACAGTCGACACCAACAAACTAAACATGCCAAACAGCTGAAAATATGAACATATGTTCGAGACGAGTGTACCAACATAATAATAATAATACTTTATTTCCGTGTAGACAATATACATTGTATAGGAATAGTCAATAAAAGAAATAAAAATAAAGATAAAAACATAGTATAAGAAACATACAAGTTGAAACAACACCTTAAAACTAAAATAATACCCTACTTATCTAATCTAAAAAAAAAATGCATATTCGAATATCTTTGATAGTCCATATGGTACTGTTACTGGACGATAATTTTCCATTAAGTTCGGGTTGTTTTTCTTGAAAATGGGAGTTACTTTTCCGATTTTCATTTCTTGCGGAAAGACACCTTTTACAAATGACAGATTAATCAGATATGTTAATGGTTTTATTATCGTTGGAAGAATTAAAATATTTGAAAATCACTAATCGAAAGTACGTAGCCCGCGAAATTTGAACATTTACCTTATTTTTTGAACATACGTCAATTCTGTTTGAATCGTGCCAAGTAAAATTCACTTTGTGTATAAGACTAAGTTGATAGTTAGACATAGCTATGAACCGAAGGAGTGTCATCTGGAGGTTAGGATGAGATCATCAATTTAGGTATTGCATAATATTGTTCCCAATACTTTTTTCTATAGGGCACCATAGAGAATGTTGAGAGAATTACCTCTGCAGAAGGAAGTTAATTCGATACATGAATGGTGCATATTAAACAAGCTTCCACTGAATATTCAAAAATGTAAATTTATGAAATACACCCTCAAGCACAACAACATACAGTTTGACTACGCAATAAATGACGTCATATTAGAACAAAGCACAGAAACTAAAGATCTGGGCATCATATTCGATAAGAAACTTAGCTTCACGTCACAAATTGATCAAATCACATCTTCTGCAAAAAAATGCGTGGCCTTATCTTCAGGACGTGCAGCGACTTTCAAAACCAAGAATGTTTTATAAACACTTTTTAATGCATATGTCCGATCTCGTCTGGAATATGGCTCCCTAATCTGGTCACCTATATACAATGTGCTTATACAGCAACTCGAATCTTGTCAGAGAATCTTTATGAAATACAGGGCTTATAATCTGGATGGAGCTTACCCATCCCAAGGAATTGATAATAGAGTTTTGCTAAATAGATTTGCCCTATTATCCTTAGAAAACAGAAAAACATATTATGCCTGTATCTTCATATATAAATTGATTCATGGTTGACTGCCCAGATTTGTTATCTCAACTAGATTTTTACGTAGCGAGACGAAGTAATAGAAACGAAATATTTTTGCCTAGGATCAACGTGTTGATAAAATCCCCAGTTTATAACATCTGTAAAATTTATAATAATGAATCGAAGAGGTTTTTGTATTAAAGTGTATAATTTTTAAAATTCTTGCAAAGCGCTTTCGACTTTCGTCATTATCAGTGCTCACTTGTCAGGCAACAGGAAGTATCAAATTAAGTAAATTGCACATTTGTAATATTTGACTTATATAAAACAAAATAGGCTTATAGCCAAGAAAATACATTTTTGGATTGAGGCCATGTGGTTCAGTCAAATTTATAATAGTTTCTATTCAGAATGTGATTTTTTTTGTTGTTCCATTTGGACGCTTCAAGTATATAATTTGTAAAAAACTATTTTTTATGCAATTCTATTAGGATTCTACAGTATATGTTTTTTTTATCATTATATGAATGTATCACTGTTTGTATAATATACTACTTTATTACTCTGCTGATTTATATGCTATTCGTTATATTCCATTGTACTCATACTTAGTCATTGCTGTAAACTTAATTATATTTGTCTTGTAATCGGAATTACTCCTGTTAGACAATAAACCCTTTTTTTTTGCTTTTGGCAGGTGAAATTTTAATAGATTGCACGACTGGAATTTTTTCAATTGAGTTTTAATGATTTCGATTTTTTTGCAGCATTGTTATAATGACCACTTGTCTTTTGAAAATGATATCAAATATGTTTCCATTTGGCTCATTACTCAAAATTATAAAATTCATTGTTTTATCATCCAGATAGCGCAAAATTAATATCATCTTGAACGTTTTCTTTTCAGGACAAAAGAAAGAATAATTTTTGTAACGGTTCCTGTGCTGGCATTCAGTATTTTGAGTGCCCGCGTGGCTACGGGGTGTTTACTACAATAGAAAAGATTGTACCTAAGAACAATAATAGAATTAGTAGTGGCGTTGTCGATCCAACTGTATCATCTCAAAAAACAGATTTGGATCTCTGCCTCGAAAAGAATCTGTACAGTATGGTGAATGGTTCGAGCAATTCCAAACCAAAATATGAAGAGATCATCACAAAATATGGGGAGTATCCAAAACACTTCACAATGCCCAGCAAGAGTTGTTCATATATGAGAAACTCTTTATCTCTTCAAAATATGCTGGACATGGAAAACACAACCGTCAACACTAACAATGACTTCGACCAAAATACTGTCATTCAGCCTGATCGAACCTACCTCGTTTCGGACCATAAAAAAGTTAGAAACAAATCAGAAATGGATTTGATTGATGTTATTGGTGGTACATGGTCTGGATCGACCGATAAAGCTGGTTTGGAGTCGTTCTCGAATTTCAAGAAGAATCTAGACAAAAATGATAATGTAAAAGAAAAACACACGTTTTTTGATAACGGTACTATCAGCAGAAGAAATAAGAGTATGAATCCCATTTCACACCTCCTCGATGGGAACAGCATACCGAAGAAGAGCACTGCTAAATTTTATACTCATGATTTACCTGAAAGTAACACTCAAAAAATAACCAATGTTAAACCTGAGGTAGTCAAAAGTAAGTATTAGTTTTTGAGAAAGTAAGGTTTTGGCTTTCAACTTCTCCAAAAAATACGTGAAATCATGAATTTTTTGTTTGTTTTTCAAGTCACGACTTGAAAATTACTTTCAATAAATTTTTAGAGACAGTAATGTAACTATATAGTACTACATTGGCTGAAAAGTCTCGGGCCTGACACCTAGATGGCGTTAGTGTTCTTGCATTCACCGCTTTTTCAGTTAGTACTAACCTATAAAATAAAGCTGTTGGAATTTCATGATATTCTACTCATAAGTTTGTGAGTTATTGTGAGAAGAGTGACACTACTTTTGTTATTTTCAAAACAATGGATCAAAAACAATTTTGTGTTTCAGTTTTACACTTGATGGGAAAAAATACTGTTTTTGTCAAATGGAAATTTGTCGTGCTGCCTACGAGGGTGGTCCCAGAAGTATCAGGCCCAACAAAGAAAACAAAAAAATTTTGGAAAAACGTACTTATTTTTCAACATAATCTCCTTGCAGCTCTATACACTTCTCCAAACGATATTCAATAAGTTCGATTTCCTATAATAAGAACTGTCTTGCTCTCCTCAAAATAGCCATTAACTGCTAACATCACTTCTTCATCGTTGGAAAATCTTTGACCACTTAGCCATTTTTTCAAGTATGGGAACAGAAAATAATCCGAGGGGGCTAAATCTGGCGAATAGGGTGCATGAGGTAGCACAATTCAAATTTTAATTCGTTAATTTTGGTCATTGTGTTAATCGATTTGTGAGCTAGTGCGTTGTCACGATACAACATGTGTTTAGCCAAATGCGACCGTTTCTGCTTGATTTCGTCACTCTAACGTTGCAAAAAGTTCGCATAATACTCGCCGTTGATAGCTTTACCTTTTCCCACGTGCATCCCAAAAAACCGATGCCATGACCTTGTCTACAGACGAAACGGTCTTCGCCTTCTTTAGAGCTTCTCCCTTTTGTGTACACTGTTTCGATTGTTCTTTTGTCTCAGCTGTAAAGTGATGGACCCATGTTTCAACCATGGTTATGAAAGGACGCAAGAATTCTGCTTTGTTGCTGTGAAACTTAGCTAAACAATCAACTGAAACACCGCCACGACACTGTTTTCGCTCGAATGTGAGCAAACGCGGCACCCATCTTGCATACAGCTTTCTCATGTCCACATTTTCAGGTAATATATTATGTACCGCACTTTTTGAAATGGCTACTAAGTGTGCTAGCTCGCGCACTTCCAGTCGACGATCATTCCGTACCGCTTTGTGGATTTTTTTCATGGTTTCTGAAGTCGTCACTTCATTTGGTCGACCACTGCAATGCTCGTCTTCACGGCTCGTTTGGCTTCATTTAAACTCTGCTAACCAATATTTTACTGTTGTAAACGAAGAAGCAGACTCGCTCAGAGTAGAATCCAGTTCAGCTTTTATATTGGATGTGGTTGGGCTGAGCTTTTCAAATGAAAGGATTGTACGACATTCTCCATTTTCACAAATTCACCGAAAACGTTCGCTATTGATGGCTGCAAAATGAATACTAACGACGCAGCGTCTTCAAACTTGAAACATATGCTTTATGAGTTGTGTACTTTCTAATACAGTGATATTTTTCAAACAACTACCGCCATCTGTAGGTCAGGCCGGGTACTTCTGAGGCCCCCCTCGTACAATAGCACTCAAAGTGAATCTCATTGTCTCTTAGAAATCAGAATCATTCATTCTCATTTATCCACTGTTATCACTCTTAGAAAACCTCAAAAATAACTCGTTGACTGAAAAACGTTTCCAGTGAATAAAACCAGATAGATGTTGCTTACCTTGGTGAATCACTCGTTTACAATCCATTTTATTTTTAACGAATCCCGGTAGGCACTTTTACTTGCATAACATTTTATTATAAATTCAGTTTTTTTTTTAAATAAATTTCGCGATGTTTCCGTAATCATCCCACTTCACAACCTACACTGTACCACTTCACTGTTTAAAAATAGAACAGGGAATTAGTTGGCCATACTAAACTTGCAGTCTTTTTTAGATTGCTATTTATATCTTAGTTGAAAATAAACTGCTTAAATCAGTGTCGATACTAGCCATTAGAAATTCGCGCATTTGCCTAGAAAATGTGTTGTTCTATTAGACTCTTAAAAAGTTCGTATGTTCTTGATTGTAACTTGATGATTTAGAAAAATGTATCAGAAAAATTATCTCAACCTATGTCTCAATTTGAACAAGAAAAATAAAAAAAACACCAAAATGAAAGACTTCAGCCGTAAAATGAACCATGATGTTATTTATGCTAACACCCAATATGAAGAAGAGGATATCATTAATAATATTCCACTGTCTGTCTTAGAAATTAACGAGAAAAACGAGCAGGCGGCGAGAGCTTCGACTTTCTACGTTACCGAAAAACCAAAGTACCACGATCCACAGCCTGGAACAACCAACGATTTAGTGATTGGTAGTTTAGTGGAAGTTTTGAATGACATTAGCGAGACTCCCATGTACGGTGTAATAAGGTGGATGGGAATCGAAGGCGGCACAAACTTTGTTCTGGTCGGTGTGGAATTGGAGGAGGAACACAATAATTTGCCTCTCACTTTGACTGACGGGACACACAACGGTGTGAGATTGTTCCGGTGTCTTGAGAATAGAGCTGTGTTCGTTCCTCTGGAGCAGTGTCATAAAGATTCCAGGTTTCAGGATGGCGTACCGACTCCAAGTGTAGAAGCTTCTGCCCATGAACATGTCGTAAGTTGAATACTTTTTACTGCATTTTTTGTCAAGTTAGTCTTTCAGACAGGAAAGATCCGACCTAAACATCAGTGTGTTGGGACTTGTTTAATTTCAACGGGGCTCAACTGCATGTATGAAACCTTCTTCTAAGAGAACGATTGTTAACTAGTAACAGCCCCATCTCGTGAACTAAGCACCAATCATTTACCAGAACCTACTGTATAGGTAGTTGTGAGAGATAAATATTTGGGATTTTATTTCGAAATATTTATTTTCTAGTACATTGTATGTGCTTTGCAAGTCTCAAAATTCTACCTCTAGACTCATTCTGGCCATAGAAACATAACAATGGGTGTACCACAAGGTTCCGTATTAGGTCCTATTTTGTTCATTCTCTATGTAAACACCATTGACTCTATAATTGAAGACAATTTTTCATCAATTGTCTCTGCACCTGATACTACAATTTTAGAAAATAAATGATGTTGACGAGCATTAAATCAAGTATCCAGTTTTTTTAATGGGCACGATTTATTTTTCAACACAGATAAAACACAGGTTATTCGTATTCACAATGGCCAGAAAAAAATTGAAAGTCTCCAGTTCAATGTAAATAACATATCTTTAAAAAGTGATGGTGGTAGTGTTAAGTTTTTAGGTATTTATCTGAATGAATGCCTGAATTGGAATAGTCATTGCCATTATCTGATATCTATAATAATAATATGCTTTATTGCCCAAAGAACATTGGGTCTTATTGACAAAGCTGCAAATTTTCATCAGTAATCATAAACATATATACATAAAGATTCTTGTAGACAGTACTTTAAAAATTATAATATTTTAACTCTTGCATCAGTCTATATATTTAAAATGGATGTATGTGTGTTTAAGTCAAATTTTACATTAAATATCAGTATTTACCACCAGGATAAGAGAATCAAAAACAAGTTCCATGTGCCAATTGCAAAAGTAAAAGTGACTTCTTCTGGGCCAGAATACATTGGTCCAAAAATTTATAACAATCTTTCTGAATATTTGAAGGCTTCAAAGCAACTGTTTGATTAAAAAAAACACAAAAAGCAAATCTCTCAGAAAGTTGTTATCATACATCAACAGAATTTTTTAATAATTCTTAGGTCTGTACTCATTTTACTATCGCCTCATTCAATTTCTATAATTAACTCTTAGTATCTTTATTTTATTGTGTTGACAGTTTCTTATACAACTTTATATTGTCTTTATGGAAATAAAGTATTATTATTATTTTAGTTGGTATGATGAAAGGGTACTTTGAAGATTTCTGTATTCCGTATTCTCTTTTGATTCATATTCAAAGTAATAAGTTCAATAAGTTCCGGGAAATTATTTGTTGTTTACCTACTATTAGTTTTTTTTACTGATGTGATCTTTTTAGGATTGTCCTGTGATTCCCGGGGCAGTTGCTCCTCTGTGCATGCCAACAGAAGAAGACGTACGAGCAGTTTGTGGAAAATATCGAGGAATACAAGGTCATCACAACTCGTGTTATTTAGATGTTACCTTATTTTCGATGTTTACCTACACATCAGTATTTGACAGTTTACTCTTCAGACCAAAGGACTCTAATGATATTGACGACTATGATGAGGTTAGTGAAGATCCACTTTATTCCTAAACGTGAATATTCCCTCTTCGAAATGTTGGTATTTCCCAATAATTTTCTTTCGTGAAATGATGAGAAGTATCGTCAGTAGAGTGTAGATCAGTAAAATCGGCTATAAATTGAAATCATAAACACCCATTCTGTTTAAAAAAATCTGTTTAAAATCTGTTTTTCCGTTAACCAGCTGTCGCACCCCTACGAACGACAACCCTCAGAAGTCGAAACTTGTGCGAGCTAAGGATTAACGAGGTCTTACCTTTTAACGTGTGAATCCTAACACGGATTCCAAAATGGGTGTTTATGAACAGAGGTATAGGGTCTACCAGTAGGGACTTCCGAACATTGACAATTGATAATGGTAATGGCCATCTTATTGAAGCTACATCTTTCAAATTATTTATCATTTATTCATTCTACTTTGCCAAATCACCATGAGCGGATATATCTTTCAACAAAACATACAAATAATAAAATTGTTTTATCAAGATGAGTGTTCTGTTCGGGTGTTATTTGTTTTCAATGTTCAGTATTAGATAAATTAAACTGTTTCAGGTCCAAAGAGTTTTGAAAGAAGAAATAGTTAATCCCCTGAGAAAAAACTTGTACGTTAGTGCGGACCATGTTATGAAACTTCGGCGACTCCTGGACAGGTTAAGTTCTGTCTCAGGTCTCACTAGTGAGGAAAAAGATCCGGAAGAATTTCTGAATTCTCTGCTAGCCCAAATTCTCAAGGCTGAGCCTTTCCTAAAACTGAATTCTGGGCAAGAAGCATTCCATTATCAGCTATTTGTGGAAAAAGATGCTGAACTAACCTTACCTTCCGTTCAACAACTGTTTGAGCAGAGTTTTCTAACAAGCAACATAAAATTGAAGGAAGTTCCGTCATGTCTTATCATTCAAATGCCCAGGTTCGGTAAAAATTATAAAATGTACCCAAGGATACTGCCGTCACAGTTATTGGATGTTACAGATATTATTGATGGTTGTAAGTATATTTTTTTTTATATCGGCAACTAAACAACTAAAAATGTTGTCTTTTGGTTGCTATTCTACAGCTGAAATAGTGTATCACCCCGTATTTGAAACTCACTTTAGGTATGGTATTTCATTTTGGGGTAGTTGAAGCAACTACCTATTCAACAACATATTCAAATTGCAAAACAGAGACTTGAGATATATGTGTTAAGGTAAATATAAGGAGCCATGTCAGCCACTATTTAAATTCCATTAAATATTAACAGCATATTCATTATATGTTTTGAAAATGGTATTAATTATAAAAAAAACATTCAGACAGGTTTGGCTCCCATTAAACATTCTACAATTCTCGCCAGATCAGTGATATTAAACTTCCTCTTCATTCTACAACTTTGTACTTTAATACTATCGATTTTGGCACAGATGTCTGCATAATGAGCCATGGTGAAATAATTATCAATGCCGTACAGTCATGAATCTGGGGTCCTGCATTGTCAAATGCAAACCCAGCAAATGATGCGTATTTTTCAGAAAGAAAGTTTTTGATGAAAAGAATCTGGATTCAAAAAGAAAAGAACAAGAAAAAATGTGCTACCTAAACTATCAACGGGGCTAAGAACTGATCATTCTGTTGACACAAAAAAACAAATTTGGTTCTTGAACAGCTCTCTAGCTCTCAAATTCTGGCGATGAAATGAATTGTGTAGATGATCCCTAAATCCTTTTCAGATTCTCAATTTCACTTTGAGTGACGGAAAAATAGATCATAAATTATGAGCATAGTTTATTTCCTTTGTTCTTCAATTGATTTTGAACCTGTTAACGTCGCTTTAGACAAAGAAAGTCCAAACTTGTAACATCCACTAAACAACTTATGTAGTATTTTTTCAATATTTGTCATTTGTTCCAGCTCCAAGACAGTGTACCGTTTGTGGAAAACTCGCGAGATGTGAGTGTAGAGAATGTTTTGACAGTTGTAATAACGTTGGATTAGAGAGTACCGCCTACTGTATCGAATGCTTGAGGACTGTTCATAAACATGAACAAAGGAGGCACCACAGGCCCACCAAGCTTGATATTTCGTCTGAGTATTATACTTTGGAAGACGCTTATAGACCTCCGAGACTCTTTATGGAACTTTTTGCTGTGATTTGTATCGAAACCTCGCATTACGTGGCATTTGTCAAGTGTGGTGTTGGTCATGAAGCTCCTTGGTGTTTCTTCGACTCTATGGCTGATAGATTAGGTGAGTCACTATAATTGTTTCATATATTACTTTGTTTTTATATCTCTTCAAAACTATAATTTCTTACCAATTATGTAAATATCATGGCTGAACAAAGATCGGGTGATAGAGTACTATCCCTGATGGAAAGTACACAATTTTCGCACTGTAAATTTTATTGCAGTTGGACTAGTACCAGTCCAGCTGATGTTCGCCATCTTGGCTGTCCGCCACATTAGATTTAGAATGACGTCATTTTATTTTTCATATGTTTTCTAGCAAACGTTTTTATTTGATACCTGTTTCATGGGAGTGCACAAAATACTAGTCCGCTATCTTGGACATTCCGCCATATTGTATTTATGAAACACATATGGAGGTGCATAAAAAAACAAGTCCGTAATCTTGGGAGTCAGCCATATTGGCTTTAGAGTGGCGTCTTGTTATTTTTCATATTTCGTCTAGTTCGTCGTATTGGATGTAGAATGCTGTCACTTAGTCACTTAGCTATGCAGCCAACTACTACTTCAAAATTCAGTTGCAAGATTTGGCCCGAACTAACATAAATACTTACATATATTCATACAAATTCACATACAGATGTTGCCAGTTAAATATAATCTTGTAAAAAAACATTTTAACCCTTCCAGGTACATGAGGGTGAAATTTTATAAAAAGTTTGGTGACAAATTAGATACAAACAAAACTGTACAGATGAATTTTTTTAATTCTTAGATGTAATGTTGAATTTTTTAACATTATCATTTTATAGTGTAAGTCTCATTAAAGCAAAAATCTTGGCATGTAAATTCATAATTACAATATAGATATTGAAGGAGATATTGAAAACAAACCGACAGTGTAAATACGCAGGGGATAATTAAACAAATATTAATACAAACGTACGAGGTCTGTTCAAAAAATAAGGTGAATGTTCAAATTTCGCGGCCTACTTACATTTGATTAGCGATTTTTTTTGTTGGTACACTCTTCTCGAACATATATTCACAGTTTCAGGTGTTTAGCATGTTTGGTTTGTTGGTGGGAGGCATACAAGTTAGAAATGTTTTGCATATTCGGCGATTTTCTGCTAACGAGAAAGCTTGATCAAAGAATTTGCATAAAATTTTACGTAAAAAATGGAATTAAGTGCTTAAAAACACTTGAAATGTTGACAGTGGCATACGGTGATTGTACTCTGAGTCAGAAAAATATTTCACAAGTGGTACAAGCTTTACACAGAAGGTCGAGAAGATGTGAACGACGACGCTCAAATGTCAATGTTATGTTCACTGTTTTCGATTATCGTGGTGTAGTGTATCACGACTTCTTGTCACATGGTCGTACGGTTAATAAGGAATATTATCTTGAAGTTATGTGCCGCCTGCGAGAAGCAATACGAAGAAAACGTGCGGTATTTTGGAAAAATACCGCAATCATGCATAAGCCACCATATTCACCAGACTTGCCCCTTTGCGACTTTTTCCTGTTTCAAAGATATTGAAGATACCCATGAAAGGACGGCGTTTTGCGACAAGACCTCTTACATACAAATAATAATTACTTCAATAAATGTAAAACAAGTCAGTATTTTGAAAAATATATTCGTAGGTGAAAAAAATGGTTTCAACATACCCGAAATGGTGGCATGTCCAGATATTTCCCGCTGGTTGTCTGACGAAAGGATGTGTAGGCAGTTACACGAAGAATTTCCAGTAGATCGACATTTACCGGAGCATGCCCGTCGATTGCTTTGTGATGCCTATATTTGTATGTATCAAAGCTCTGATGTGATGATGTATAGATAAGAGAAATACTTAAATTGTGATGATTCGTTATGATCGTCAGCCTGGCTTTATAAAAATTGATCGGGTGAGATTTGGAAGCGAAAGGGATTTTTTTAATCACCATAATTCTTTTGCGACGACATATTTGCTTCTCACCATCAAAAAACTTAATTATATCATGTGAAATCACATTCAATAAATTCAATTACCATAATGGTTGAGGTCAAGATAATTAAAATTTATTATGTTTCGTTATCATTGTATGAATCAATAGTTTATGTAAATATTCCATGTTGTGTAGTAAATCAATGTATCAGTCATGTTTGATTTGGAAAATGTCATTATCCAGGTGTCTTTTTATGATAAAATATGCACTTATTTTTAACCAAACCTTCCAATATTTATCAACTGAAAATAAACATTCTTCAAGTCAAATAACTTTTCTTCAAACAAAATAATAACTTCCATCAACTCCAACCAGTGGCAATGTAACAGAACCATTCAGGACTATTAGATGTTTGCTGCCGATAAAATTGAAGTTAGCTGAATTTGTTATTTGTGGAGAACAACCCTTATAGAACTTTTCTCTAGAACCTGTTAATTTGGTTTTGGCTCAGTAAGTATAAAATGATGTTGCACAAGTTGAAATGGAAAAGTATAAAAGGAACACTTTATTGTGAAGTTTTTGTGAAATTTTCACTACACAGTTGAACAACAATACAATTTTTTTGGGGGTGCCTATTCTGTGTATAGACACGCCCTATACTGTATAGATACGCCTTCATGTGTATACTGTGTATAGACACGCCTTTACTGTGTATAGGCACGCCTACACTGTTCAGAGACACGCCTATAATGTGTATAGACACTCATTTTACTGTGAATAGGCACGCCTATACTGTGTATAGTCATGCCCATACTGTGCATAGACACGCCCATATCGTGTACAGACACGCCCATACTTTGTATAAACACGCACTATACGGTGTATAGACACGCACTATACCGTATATAGACATGCCTTCACATTGTATAGATACGCCCATACTGTGTATAAACACGCACTATATAGTGTATAGACACGTCCTATACTATATATAGACACGTCTGAAAAAGCTATTGTATAAAGTGCATTATCAAATATCGGTCGAATCCATCACATAGGGAAAATATGATACTGTTATATTTTACCATTTTGTCCATGTATTAAGATATATTGAACATCTGAATGAAAAGTTTACTTTAAAAAAATACTTTTTCAAGATGTAGTTTGCATGCTCTTTGAAGGTTGGTTCATAGTCAACTACAGTTCTGTATTGTTAGCAGACAGATTGAGTCATTTCCACCAATAGGGGAATTACCCACAAGCTTAATCTGAAAGCTTCTATACTCTTCATCAATATCTGCGATCCTTAAGTTCTTCACTATATTGTGAAATTTTCACTACACAGTTGAACAACACTTGTTTTGCTATATAATTTTTTTGGGCGTGTCTATACTGTGTATAGACACGCCCTATGCTGTATAGACACGCCTTCATGCCTATACTGTATATAGACACACCTATAATGTGTATAGACACGCCTTTACTATGTATAGGCACGCCTACACTGTTCAGAGACACGCCTGTAATGTATATAGACACTCATTTTACTGTGAATAGGCATGCCTTCAAGCGTGTATGGACACGCCTATACTGTGTATAGTCATGCTTATACTGTGTACAGTCATGCCCATACTGTGTATAGACACGTCCATAATGTGCATAAACACGCACTATACGGTGTATAGACACGTCTATACGGTGTATAGACACGTACTATACTGTGTAGAGACATGCCTATAAAGTGTATAGATACACCTATACTGTGTATAAACACGCACTATACGGTGTATAGACACGCCTATACAGTGTTTAGACACGCACTATACTGTGTAGAGACATGCCTATAAAGTGTATAGATACGCCTATACTGTGTATAAACTCGCACTATATGTTCTATAGACACGTCCTATACTATATATAGACACGTCTGAAGAAGCTATTGTATAATGAAACTCGTGTTGAGTTTTTGTAAAACTGTAATAAAATCTCACAATAAAGTGTTTCTTGAATATGTTATGGAATTTTATCAAGTATCGTTTGAATCCATCACATAGGGAAAGTATGATACTGTTTTATTTTACCATTTTGTCCATGTATTAAGATATATTGAACATCTGAATGAAAAGTTTACTTTGAAAGAAATACTTTTTCAAGATGTAGTTTGCATGCTTTTTAAAGGTTGGTTCATAGTCAACTATAGTTCTGTATTGTTAGCAGACAGATTGAGTCATTTCCACCAATAGGGGAATTAACCACAAGCTTAATCTGAAAGCTTCTATACTCTTCATTAATATCTGCGATGCTTCAGTTCTGATTGTATTGAAAATTTATTCAGATTAAAATTCGTAAGAATACTGCTCAGTTATGTAATACAACTGAGTTACTATCCGAGGTAGAAATATTATTTGTAAATTTGCAACTTTTTCAGTACATGCAATAATATGAAAACATTTTTATTGTCATATGACATATTTTTGACAAAAATATGGCTATACACTTTACCTTTATATTTTCAAATCCATCTTGAAGATATGTGCAGGAAGATGTTCAGATTATTAAACACTCAAAGTGTGTATCTCCAAAAGTTAACAGTAATTCAAGTTTCATTATTGCCACTGGTAATTTTAAAATATTTCATTGTAAAATCTCGAAATATTCATCTCTCCCAGCTACCTACATCTTAGGTTCTAGTAAATGCCTGCCGGAAAACAACTACTTCCCCAGCTAATATCACGCTGCATATTGAATTATATCCGGAGATAGAGCTGTAACTAGTTAACTATCTCTTGGACGAAGGTTTCACATATGCGTTCCAGCCGCGTTGAAATTAATCGAGTCCCAGAGTGTGTAGGTGCTCTACTTGAATAATTTTAGAATGGTCCTGCTGCTAGATGAACGAGAAACATCTGCGAGACTAACCTGTTTCGAGGTATCTTGTATAAATGTCTGTCGGATATAATTCAATATCCAGCGTGGCATTAGCAGGGGAAGTAGTTGTTTTCCTGCAGGCATTTACTAGAAACTACTGTGTAGGTAGTTGGGAGAGATGAATATTTTGAGATTGATGTCAAATACTCTGAATGTCCAACAAACTAAATTTTATTTTGATATTGCTTTGTATTTTTATGAGCTTGCATTATTTGATTCAGATGTACAAGAATTACATGTATTCAAGGAAACCCACAAGGACATTTGTTTAAAAATATTACATGCCTTGTCTATAAATATCAATTATTGGAACAACAAATCAACTTGAAGAATACAAAATCCTGTAATTATATAAGTGAAGTATAAAGATGGTTCACTGCGAAATGAATTTAATCATCATGAAATGATGTGATATAAATATTCCTAATTCAAATACTGAACAGTTTATTCTGTGAAATCCATAACCTCTTCTCTTGTGGTATTACAATTTTGGTTAGCAAATATTATTAGACCTCTGGACTCTGTCTCTTGTTAGACATTTAAAAGGTAAACTGCTCATTGAATTTTTTGAAGAATCTGTTAGTATTTTTACATATGAGAGCACCATACAATAGCTATACACTATAAAAATAGCTTCTTCAGATGTGTACAGTACTAAATGAACCTCCCTGGAGAAGCTATTGTATTGTGAAACGCATGTCGCAGTTTTGTAAACTGCGTGTGTGGCGTATGATGTGTGTGGCTGGCTTGTGTCTGTTTGTGTGTAAGTCTCTTTCGAATAGTGGACAGAAATCTTTGCATTTATAGCAAATTTCAAGAAAATAACATTTTTTGTTTGTTTTCGCTATTAAATATTTTGTTACAGATTTCTTCACATATTAAAAAAACACGCTTTAATGTGAGATTTCTATTCGATAGTTTACAAAATCGCTATACAATAGCGTCTTCAGGCGTCACAATACCGTTTGTACGACGTTTTGATTGTTAGTCATGCTATTACAGTCATTTGAATCATTATAACTATTACTACCTGACAAATTTCTACGTGATGAATTCATTGCCTAAACTATTTACCTATCTAGGCTATCATTTAACCTACTTTCAAGATCTGCCCTAATTACCAATTTTCTTATTGAAAACTAAATTTAATAAAGGGGAACTATTCAAATCTATTTTATTGTTGAGCAGTAATCTCAAATTCCTACATCTATTGATTTCGAAACACTCCAAAAGGTTGAGTTTTGAGACTTTCTCATCCAAATGCAATACGATATAATCATGATTCAACTCAGCGGAAAGATGATTGGCAAATGTTGAATTGGTCTTTCCCTTCAAGAGATTCTCCCGGATTTTCCGATATAAAATTTTGGAGAAGAACCACAAGTCAACTTGTATACTCCCGATCACTGTTTTTAATGAATCGATTCAACTTATTACTTGTTCTGTAGACTATGTCCAATCCTGTGTTATTTTGAAAACGGCAGATATTATTAGTAGGATCACCAAAATAAGAGGTAAAAAGAAAGAAATAAATGAATGAAAACTTACACTCATTTTTATTATCAGATCATGAATCTAACTACATTTGAGAGAGATTACAGAACAGTGGATTATTAAAAGAAATATACACCAATTGACGATCCAAAGAAAAATAACGGTCCATTCGTTGCATTGCAAGTATATTTCGTAGTTGGCCACCAAAACGTCCTTAACCTAATGTCTCATTGAAATGTATATTCAGTCTTCAGTTTTACGATTTAATTCTTTGAAAGAAACTTGATAAATTCATCAAATACTGATTTTTTTCAACTACTCAGAGTACGCATCAAATTATATGAAAATTAAATAGCTATATTGCAAATTCGATCAAAATAAAGCTAATGCTCTATAAATTAAATAAAATCCAATTGTTGGTTCATCTCAAATACTGTTCATATCACTATTTTGTTACAATCAATTGTCTGAATCCTCGACTACCTTTGGTTGCCCGGGAAAGAATAAGGACTGCATTCCTGGCCAATTACAACCCAATGCAGCGATAACTCAAACTAAATCTACGAATTTGGAATCTACTCCAAGTAGATTTCACACTAGATACACCGTAGCTCAGCTAAACAACCATCTAAACTATTTCAAACTATCCAGAAATTTGTAAACAATTTAAAAAATAGTAAAATCACTTCTAATTATGAGTTATGACGATGCAAGTCCATTCATGAATGTTCAGAAACCTTTTTTCTAATAGTTCTTCCAGAATCACAGCAGTCAACAGTACTTTTTTCTTAAAGAACATTCTCAACGTATCGTTATTATTCTGTGTTAACTTATACTGAAATGAAATGAACCGAGACCTCATTCGAAGTGATTTTACTAATTTTCACCCTTGTAAAGTAATTCTGTAAAATAATAGTTGAATTGGCTATGATAGTTAACTATAAATCAGATTTCAACTGAATCATTTCCAGGATACTGGCCATAACTACTGCTCTATAAGAAACATAAAATCCAAGTGTAACAAACAATCCCGTGTTATACCACGAAAGTTAACAAAATAAGAGTAATATTATTAAAGTCTTGTGACTGAACTTATAAAGTGACTCTAATATCTAAGTGATAATCAAATAAACTCAATACATATATCTATCTATAGTTTAAAATAATTTGTACTTTTGCTCTCACCAAAAGATTTTTTTTCATTACAATGCTTCAAAAAAATTGTTTGACTGTTCATAGCACGTATGAAAAACAGTCAGTTATTTTTTTTGCAAATGATGTTATTGCAATTGATAGTGTTGACTTAGTATGCCTCATCTTCATCCATGATGAAATCACTCCCAAATCCAGAATCCAATGTATATCTTGGGCTATAAAAAATAATACGTTACAGATCAGTCGGAAGATATTATAATTTTCAATTTTGAAAAAAAAACACATCAAGTGGTGAGTACACTGTAGTTTCGTTTAATTCACTGGACCACGATATTCTTCTGAAAAATCATCAACTTTATGGTGTCAGAGGTGTATCCCTGAAATTGTTCAAATCATTTTTGACAGGGAGAACTCAAAAAGTACTTTCAAAATTTGAAATCAACGGTAGACTTCAAGAATTCTACTCTGCCACTAGAAATATCATCTTAGGTGTTCCCCATGGATCCATTTTGGGTCCTCTGCTTTTTTGTTATATTTCACGACACACCTCAAAGTTTATCCTCATCAAGGATGTTATGAATCTCTTCAGTTCATGCAACAAAATTGGCAAATGAGATGTTAAGAGTTGTGTTCTTGTGACAACCTTTGCTTGCTTGTTGATAAAACTGATTCAATTTAGTAACAAACTTTAACCATATTTCAATGTTCTAGTTAAACTTGGGTCAAAATCTAATCCGGTTTACCCATCTAGTAAATGCCTACAACAAAAATGTATCTTTTGAGATACAGTTATTTCCGGCAGTAAGAGTTAACACTCTTCAATTTCCAATAAAATTTTACTCTTCATGGAGAACTAAAATTTTAAACCTTAATGCAGTGTTCAACTTACTTGACGGCTCTGCACGTAAAGAAAACAATCCTTTTGAGTTTCTTATTATAAAAGAAGTAATTAAAGCTCCATAAACAGCCATCTTCGCCGAAAGGATCTGATGCGAGATCGGGGTTGTATGAATAAATGTTACAATTTTCCAAACAGATTTCGTCGTTTATTGCGTTCCAAATCGCAGGTCTCAGAAGATTATACTGCTCACCTGCAGTTGCTGATAAATTGGTATCAATTGCATTGCTCACCCATTGTCGTGATGGTTCTTTGCTGAATTCATGACTCTGAAAAGAAACATTAATTTGGGTATTAAAACCACTACAACGGTAAAGGGTTTTTTCATCATTATTTAATGTTTTTACAATTTTGTCTGGTGGAACAATAGCGGATGCCTTCGAGTCCATTTATTTCAAAATTATAATATTAGTTGGGTGCTACAACAATATTCATATGTTCAATAATTTAATGGAGCAATGTGGACTCCTGTGTGTTTCAACAGAACCTGTGTAGTGTGTGTATGTATGTGTGATGTGTCTGTGTGACATGTATGTGTGGCGCATGTGACTGTCTGCGTGGATCTCTGTATGGCGTTGTATGTGTAGCTGTGTGAAACGTGTTTGTGTGGCATATGTGGCAGTCTGTGAGTCCTGTACGACTGTCTGTGTGGCATATGTGGCTGTCTGTGTGGCATATGTGGCTGTCTGTGTGGCATATGTGGCTGTCTGTGCGGCGTATGTGACTGTCTGTGTATCGTATGTGGCTGTCTGTGCGGCCTGTGGCTGTTGGGGTGTGTGTGGCGGCGAGTTTGGCGTGACATGTGTGTGTGGCGGCGAGTTTGGCGTGACATGTGTATGTGGCTGTCTGTGTTGCGCATGTCGGTCGGTTTGGCGTTGGTGTCCATGTGACATGTGTATGTGACTGTCTGTGTGGCGCATGTGCATGTGACTGTCTGTGTGGCGCATGTGCCTTTGTGGGTATGTGGCTGGTGGTGTGTGTGGCGGTCGGTTTGGTGTTTGTGTCCGTGTGACGTGTCGTATGTGGCAGTCTGTGTGACGTGCATGTGTGAGACCTGTGCGACTGTCTGTGTCGTGTGTGTGGCGTGTTTGTCTGCGTGGCGTTTGATGTCTGTGTGGCACACATGTGTCTGTGAGTATTATTTGAAATGCATTAAGTTTTCAATGTTGTATTTTGCATCCTGAGTTAGCCCCTTGAATGAATAACTGAATAAATGTTTGCAATTAACGTTGTTCTTTATTTGGGCAAATCAACAATCCTCAAGGATCATGTAGTTGTTTCGGGAGGAGTTTTTTCTTCCAGCTTTGTATCCGAAAGTTACTTTTTTGCATTATCTACAATTTTTGAAAAGGGTTCGGATGTTTCCCACAATTCTTTGTATGAAGACGGTGAAGTGAAGCCAAAAAGCTTTTTTCCCTTAAACTAACATCCAAAAATATGCTTTCAATTCAATTCTAATGTAATAAAACTTTAGAGATCAGACAGCAACATCAAGAGCATGATATAAAAAAAATATTCTCTTGAATTAGAAGTTTTTTCTCCTGTGAACATATTTGAAATGGGTGAATAAAGATCCAGAACATGGGAACGAGAAAAGATGTCATTTTATAAGTTTTTATTACCAGAAGTACGTTCCTGAAATTGTCAATTTTTTGACAGTTTGGACTGTTGAGTGGTTGAAGGTCTAAAAATAGTATAAATAAAAAATTTCCATTATCTATCAATATCAGTCTGAATAAAACAGACAATTGATTTCATATATACTCACCTTCACATCCATAAAGTCATAATCAGGAAAACAAGAGTTCAGGGTAGCAATCAAATAGAATAAAGTCTTACGACTGATAGTGTCACATAATGGACCTTCCTCGTCTCCCGAGATGCTTCGGCTGAACTGGGAATAGCCTTCTGGAGGAGAGAGTGCTTGTAGATCATTGGGATGTACTCCTTCGGAATTGAACTTTTTATATAGGGCTTTGTCTCCTCCAGCCATCTTACACGAGTAACTTTCTATGCGCCCTATAATTTTACTGTCTCCCGTTTGAATCAAAAGAGCGTTATTGATAGCTTCAAATCTTGTGCTTTCGAGAAGCTTCATGTTGAATATCACAATTTATCAAAGTTTCACTTGTAAACGTTAGTTTTACTTTTATTTATGTCGTACGCGAGCACAACGCTCTATTTTTAAAAAAGTTCTTAAACATAGCTGTGGGGTGTATGAATATTCCTTTTCTTTTTGAATGGAGGAGACTAACGGCAGGCACAAGTCTTACAGATCTTTTGCTCGATAAATAATTTAGGTACATTACAAACGGGCTGTTAACAAAAAAAATACTACTGTCAAAGTAGTTTCTCGTTTAGTTCCTATTAGTTCACCGTGATTTCAACACAAAGAAATTAGCCTTGTACTGCCTTGTAGAGGGCAAGTTGGGCGAGTCCACTTTTTTTCGATGGTGAATTAGCGTTATCCCACCTTATTACTGTTCAGATAACAGTTCACACACCATTTTAACACTGTTAAAAGACACACGACACATTCGACTCAATCAGCTATCGGAAAATTATATTTTTCTGGAATATTTCTTCGCTTAAGAGAAAAATCGCACAAACAAAAGGTCAACTTCAGATTTAGCTTCTATTATGGATGATTGTCCTTGAATTTGACATGTCAACATCAACAAAAAAAATGAATTAATGCTTCCTTCGCACGATTACTGCGTTTTGGCCAATACCACTCTATTCTCTTATTGGCTGTCGTATTAAAACGTATTTTCGGAAGTCGTTTACCATTGGCTCTAACTTTATACATTGAGTGAATAATTTTCGATTGATTGCCTCAGCCTATAGAAACAAGATAATGTTAAGAATCGACAAAAAAAAAGAATCCAATCAGATCAATCAGTAGTTACCGATGAAATAAAAAAATAATTTCTCTTTGGTTGATGAATCTGACAAATTCTTATCAACTGCTAATAAGAATAGGAAAACGGAACAACTCATAATTGTATATTAGAACTAGAATGCGTTTCAAATATGGCGGATGGACAAACCGCGTAATCGCTAAAACACAGTAAATGACCCCATTACAATGGTGACACCACACAATCAATGTGAGTAGCATAAAAAGAGGAAATGAATTATATGTTATCTAGTTATCTTTTTCTTTTAGAATTAGCACATTTCTTAAAGAAATAATTCACAATAGTCATCTATTTTCAGATTCAAAGTAAAACAATATAATTTCATATTACAAAATTGATACTTTTTATCATGAATGAACATATATCGAAATATGGCATCATAGCATTATTGTTTACAACTGAAGTTTGTTTTCTAATGACTATTTCTCCTTCCTCTCATACAGCTAAATATTGACATTTCAGTTAACTAGTTTAGTGATCCAATAATTTTTCTAAAAAGAAGGTATGGTTGAGTCACAGGATCAATTTTATGTGAAACTAGCTTTTCTGACTCACTGACTGACTGGCTCACTCACTGACTGGCTCACTCACTGACTGGCTCACTCACTGACTGACTCACTGACTGAATCCCTGGCTGACTAACTGACTGACTTACTGACAGACTAACCGAATCATTGACTGCCTCACTGTCTGATTCAATGACTCACCGCTTGACCGAACGACTGACCGACTCAGTGACTGACTCAATGACTCACTGTTCGACCTCTACTTACCGGCTCATTGACTGACTCACCGACAGGCCCGCTGAGTGACTCACTGGCCGACTAAATGTCCCACGGACTTACTGGCTGACTCACTGACTATCTGAATCACTGACTGACTTGACCCACTGACTGACTCAATGGCTCACTGCTTGACTGACTGACTGACTGGCAGACTGACTCACTGACTGACAGACTGACTGACAGACCGACTTACTGACTGACTCGCCGACGACTCTTTTATGATAAACAAAATTACTAAATACGATAAGTTATTGATGAATAGCACATTTTTCTTTGTGAAAAATACTTTGAATTGATATGTCCCGTTCTACTGATATTATATTGATATCCTGAGAGATATTTCAAATGAAATTTCCCACTGCAGGTATTTTATCTGCTCGATAATTACATCAGAAACTCTGAGGATAAAAACAATCCCGAATGAATAAAATGCAATTAAACACTAACTTTAAATCCGGCGTCCAAGTTGTAGCTATCTTTTTGTGTGGGTTTAGTTATATATTTGTTGGTCTATCGTGTCGCTGCAAAGCCTTAGCTTATATCTTCTGCTATCGTTCGGCCACTCGCGCATTTTTCCCTCGAGATATGGAGTCATTTACATAAGGCTGTAATAAATGAACGAAGCTATCTAGGTGCACGGTGAATATATGCATGGCCTGTTCAGATTACCTAGATTCGATAAGTAAAACTCATGTAGATGCATTTCGGTTTTACCGCGAAACATGCTGCCCTACACCAACACGGCATTTGTTTATTGTATCGGAAATTGGAGTACGGCGGAAATTAACTCTATGGAAAAATTTGGCTTGTTGGTATTTGCGTTTGATACACTGAAGGAAAAGGATAATATGAGTCCCAATCGACCTGAAGAGTCAAATAATCAGAAGTTTCATTGAGTTCTATGAGAGTACCAATGAATACATAGTCCATAGAAGCTCATAAGCATTGTTCCTTAGACAATGTCATAAGTACGGTTTTAGAATTTTAGTGTATCTGAAATTTATAGTACTCATCCTGACCACCAGTGAGCGATAGCAGTACGATGTCGGTAATCAATGTTGTTACCAACATAATTTGGCATCAGTCGCTGACAACCAATCGGTTTTTCAATTAATTCTGTTGGTAAACTCAATAAATACCGACATCGTACTTCCATCGCTTTTTGGTGGTCAAGGTACTAGAAATTTCAGGATACACTAAAATCGTACTTATGAGCTTATATGAGCTTTTTATTCTTTGGTTATACCTCGCAGCCCAAGAATTCACAAGATTCTCTCTAGAGACTAAATGATTTAAATCAACTTCTCTTTAATGGTGAGGTCATTCTATTTGCAGTGGAGGTGAAACATCTAGATATTATCCTTAGTAAAAAAGTCATCTGAAACGCGCACTTGGGAAAGGCTGTGGAAAATCGTGGGGCTTAGGGTCCAAACAGATGCATTGGATAGATGTTATAATTGTCAGATCAATAGTGACGTACGGAGAAATTGTCTAATGGTCGAATTCTTTACACCAATAGTCTCAGGTGGAGCTGCCTAGTTTACATAAATATGTGGACGGTGTAGTGTCATTAGCACCACACTTTACAATGTTTTGGAAGAATAGGTTTTACAGAATGACCACGTAGACGCCCCGATTTGACACCACTAGACTTTTTTTCTAGAGGGGTGGTTGATTAAAAAAATCTACGAGACGCAACCAATCACCTCTGATAAAGTACGGAAGAAAATTATTATTTGCGGTAGGCTATTTACACCTGTTATTCTTGAATATGACGGAGGAAGCTCGTTAATACCGTTGTATGCAAGTTAATGATGTTCAATTCGAATATTTGACAGTTATTTTTTCTGTTTAGTTCAATTTTCTAGTTCAAAATTAAATACAAATTTAAACAAGTATTTTATTGTTCATTTCCGACCGTTCGGTCGGTAGCCAGGCGGTTCGACGTGGGTGCTTTGTTCACTCATTCGAATTGATCGATTTTCACTTGCTATCGTCCAACCCGTGTTAGGAATCACACGTTAAAGGGTAAGACCTCGTTAATCCTTAGCTCGCACAAGTTTCGACTTCTGAGGGTTGTCGTTCGTAGGGGTCCGACAGCTGGTTACCGGAAAAACAGATTTTAAATAGACATATTTCTGACATTATTATCGTTGTAATGCTAAAAATGTTAGAGTTGGATACAGAGTTGAAAGACTTTTGAAATAAGTTGTCACTCGACTGTTATTTCCGTTTGAAACGTTTGACATGAGAGTTATTTTGCGGAAGAGTGGCTTACAAGAGTTTGATTTGTACACAGAAAAGTGTCCCTTCGAAACCTAAAGGTGACGGTGAAAACCAGAGCCCAAACACAACGTATTTATGATTCAACATTAGACCGCGCTGTTTCTACTCGCCGTAGATCTCATCAGTGGTGCTAAGCTGGACCACAATTGCATTGCTGGACTAAGTAAGTAAGGACGGCGTCATTTGGCCTTATGAAAACGCCACCTATGAGACCAACAGAGAACTCAATTCTTGAATATCAAGGATATAAGACCCTTCCCAAGGCAAGGTTCGACATTAACCGCCAACAAGATTCGTCTTCCACTGCAAGGCAACTAGCTGTGAACCAGAATCCAAACACAACGCATTCAACACAATTTCTTTCCAGCGAGCATTCTGTTGAGGTCTGAGAACATGAAAACGTCGCTGGAGGCCAGATCTGGAGAATACGGTGGATGTGGAAGCAATTCGAATCCCAATTCATGCAATTTTGCTCTCGTTTTCATTGCTTTGTGACACTATGTATTGTCTTGATGATACAGCACTTTCTTTTTCTGCAAATCGGGCATTTTTTTAGCGATTTCGTCTTTCCAACGCTCAAATAACGCTATGTAATAGTCGTTGTTGATTGTTTTTTGCTTTTCAAGATAGTCGATGGATATTATGCCATGGTGTATGCCAAAATACTGATACCAAAACTTTGCCAGACGACCGTTGCGTATTTGAACGCTTTGGAATCACTTGCACTCAGATGATGATAGTTTTGATTCTGGTGTCAAATGATGGAGCCATGTTTCATCTATTGTCATATATTGACACACAAATTCGGGATTTTTATGGTGGAACAGATTGAAACAGTGCTCAGAATCATCAATTCGTTGTTGTTTTTGGCCAATAGTGAGCTCGCACAGCACCCACTTTGATTAGAGCTTTCCCATTCCAAAATATTCATGCACATTATGTCCAACACGTTCCGTTGATATCTTTAGAGCCTCAGCTATCTCGATCAACTTCACTTACCGGTCATCCAAAATAATTTGTGAACTTTTTTAATGTTTTCGTTGGTAACAGCCTCTTTGGGGCATCCACTGTTTACATCGTCCTCGGTGCTCATTTCACCCCTTTTAAACTTAGCAAACCACTTCTTAACGGTTGATTTTCCCGGTACAAAGTCCGAACAATGTTCATCAAGCCAAGCCATGGCTTAAATAGATTTTTTTTTGCCAAAAGGCTTGCTTTATCAACACACGAAATTCCTTTTATCCATTCTCTTCTAACTAACAAAAGTTGCTTCACTTAAAATATTTTATACAACAAACTAAAAGTCCGACTGCTGAGAAACTTGTACAGGTTTCTTTTGAAGGTTAGGGTTAACTAAGCATCATATAGATTTAATACTAGCAGCGCCATCTGTGTGTTAGCCTACGAACTTCCAGCCCATATAGTATAATTCAACTCTTAATCAATGATCAATTGTCAAAATGCTTGTTAATTGTTGGTACTGTCTATGCTATTAATGTGGTTGCTTTAGTATATATAACTCTGATTATTTTACTCACGGTAGTGACGAGGTGTAGAAACAATTGAAATGGTGGTTATAGTACTGAATGAATAAAAAAGTGGGTTCATATCATGGTCTGCATCATAAACAGTATAAGGTTTTGAGATAAAAAGTACACAAATGTAAATAGATAATTTATTGTCTCCAAGAAAGATAACCACTGTGTTGTAACTTTAGGTAGATGATTCAACAACTACACAGTTAGAATATGACATGAATTCAGTTGCATATTAGATATACGTAAATTACAAAATACATTGTACAATTATTGGAAAAAAGATTACAGAGGTGTGTGATGTGGAAAACCTATTGTAATTTTGTTGTTGTTTTCTTTGAAATGTCTGTGTATTAGGTATCCCGATATGTTGATTGAACCAGTTTTTGAAAGTACTCTTTTGCTTGAACTGGCAAATGAAACATACATGAAATATGTTTAACACAAAAATAAATATGTAGTTTCATTTCAAAATCAATATATCTTCCAAATAAGATTTATCCTTTCATTTTGAATTTGACTGTTAATTATTTCAGCAATTTGAAGGGAACGAATGCTATAGATCACATAGAATCATCAATAAATATTCACTTTCTGTATTCTGATTATTCCTCATCCAAATGACATTGTACCAAACTTGATCTTACAAGATGAAAATTCGGTATTTTCACATTTCAGGATACCTTTTGAGTTATGGAAAGAATTATGGAAAGAACAAGAGATAATCACACTTTTAACCAATATGCCGAATATTATTTAATTTAAATGCTTTGGCATTATACATTTTCAATGTGTATACTACAAAATTAGAAATAAACAAACTATAAACCTATATAACTTCATACAAAACAAATTTGTAAGTCTATTTGTACAAGTTGATTAATATATAACATATTGCAATATATTCAAACGACCGCAAAAACGATCTACATATAGTAACAAATTGAATGCCCCAACACTAAATAATTAATAATTACCAAATGCACATTATTGTAGACTAAAAACGTCCCCCAAAAAAAGGACAAAATAACATTATATGTAATCATAAGTAACAATCTTTTTCAGCTTCTGTTGAAACTAAGGTTTAATTGCTATTGACAAATTGGAGTTTACATCCACATACAGTTATGAATGATCTGAGTTATTCCCATTCTAATTTCTATCACTCAATCATCTGTTTTGAACATGTTTATTTCGTTTTTAAGGATTTGAGGGACGATGACCCTGTAACATGAAATTTTATTGTAAATGTATATCATCATTCGTGATAGATTGAGATGAAAATTCTACTTTTACTGTTGATTAATTTGCAACTCTAAACTCAAGACAAAGTCCCCCTAATTTTATTTTTAGGTTTTCCAAAAACGATGAAAAATGAAAACTGTTACAATAACGAGAATTACTACCTTTTCTTGACTCAATATTGTGATTGAAATAATGTATACTTATGTATGTATGTATACTTATAACATTATATTTCAATATTTCGAGAGTATTCACTGGCATCTTCAGGGAGAAAGTGTTGATGAGAATTATCTCTAAGGATGTCCACACAAAGGGTGACACATATAGTAACAAAACAGCATTAAAGTGAAAATTGTGGGTTCGACCATATGTCACAACAAACAATAAACAATAATTATTCAAAAAAAAGTAATATTGTGAAAATTTCTATAGACATAGTATTTTTGAAAATTATCTCTATCAAAAATACCATGTTGATTAATATTTTTATATAATAATACTGTTAGTTTGACTAATTATCATGTGATTGAAACCTCAACTTTCAATTTAATATCGTTTTGTCACTACATATGTGTCACCCTTTTTGTGAACATCTTTACAGATCTTTCTCTACGACAATTTCTCCCTGAAGATGACAGTAAATACAGTAGGAATATTAGAAACATTGATATCAATATTCATGATTTTTTTTACTGTGTAACCTGACTTTGAGGCAATCAGATATTTGTTGATACATCACAAATTATATAACACAGAATAATATACATGTTTGTGAAAAATGATTGGGGAAGTATATTGATTGAAAGTATAGATATACATTCTTTCTGTTCTCTTTATAAATATTTACTTATTTAGGACAACTTTGTTTCAGTACCAGTATTTCTCGGGTTTGAAGGCAGTTGATATTTGGAATTTATTCCTGACGCTTCACATTCTGAGTTCAGATCACGCGTGAATGGTGTCTTGTATCATTGTCAAACTTGTGGATGAACAACGCTTGCAAATTATTGAATTTCATTATCAAAATTCATGCTCAGTGAAGAAAGTGCATCGTGCACTTCTTCCAATTCGTGGGCAGTTTCGTCGGCCTACTGAGGGAGCTATTCGGAAGCTTGTGACTGAATTTCAGTTTACAGTTCAGTTTACATTATTGGACATTAAACCACCAACACGTATACGTAGAGTGAGGACGGAAGAAAATATTGCGGCTGTATCCGCCAGTGTTCGTGATGACTGTGAAATGTCGATTCGCCGCCGTTCTCAGAAATTGGGCCTGTGTTACTCCACTACGTGGAAAATTTTGCGAAAGGATTTGGGTGTAAAACCTTATAAGATACAACTGGTGCAAGAATTGAAGCCACACGACCTCCCACAACGTCTAACATTTGGTGAATGGGCGCTGGCAAAGTTGGAGGAAGATCCACATTTTTATCAAAAAATTGTGTTCAGCGACGAGTCTCATTTCTGGTTGAATGGATACATTAACAAGCCAAATTGCTGCATCTGGAGTGAAGACTAGCCACAAGCATTGCAAGAACTACCGATGCATCCCGAAAAAGTCACTGTTTGGTGTGGATTATTGGTCGGTGGCGTCATCGGGCCGTACTTCTTCAAAGACAACAATGGCTGGAACGTTAATGTGAATGGCGAGCGCTACCGTGTGATGATTGACGACTTTTTGTTGCCCAAAGTGAAAGAATTGGACATGCCTGACATGAGGTTTCAACAAGACGGTGCCACATGCCACACGGCACGCGAAACAATGTCCCAATTAAGAGCCGCCTTCGGTGAACAGTTTATCTCACGTTTAGGGTCCGTTAATTGGCCGCCTAGATCGTGTGAATTAACGCCTTTGGATTATTTCTTGTGGGGTCATGTTAAGGCTCATGTCTACAGGAATGAACCAGCAACGACTGACACTCTGGAAGCCAATATTGAAGCATTTATATGTGAAATACCGGTCGATATGTTGGAGAGAGTGTGCCAAAATTGGACCTTGCGCATGGGCCATCTAAAGCGGAGCCGCGGAAAATATTTGCATGAAATCATCTTCAAACATTAAAATATATTGATCGTTCTATCGATTTCAATAAAGATTTCATCATTTTTTTCACATTTTTTGTGTTGTTTTGAAAATCAAATCCTATACCTCTTAAAAAATCACACAATAATAAACCTCTGAAGAAGTAGGCACTCGTATCTCTCTCTCTAGGTTTTCTTGGCCTTTGCTTGGGAAGAAACTCCTAAAATCAACGGCCCTCAAACCCAAATACAAATAGTGATACTAAAAACCTCGGCCGCGAAAGACTCAACCATTTTGTCAACTTTGTTCTAGCCTGAATCATTGTTTTAATTATTAATTCAGGTATTACAAGGAAAAAAGGATGACAAACTGGTCAAATTCTTTCACTAAATCAAGGATCAACACGCTTGCAGATCAAATATCAAATATGGAGTAGAAATATAGAAATAGTACATTTCAGACTGCTCCAACTTTGTCAATAGCTTCTCCTTCATACATTCCAATGGAGAACAACATTTATGGTTCAGTTACATGAGCGATATTGAGCTGAAATAGTTGGTTATTTCTACTTAATGCATTATTATCACAATTCATCAATGAGATTCTGAAAATCGCATTATTAATGCCGGTCCAATATTGAAATAATACACACAGTTGTGTACTTTTTCGTAAAAATGATAACGCCGATCGCTTAGTCGGTTTGTGTTGAGGCATTAAAATATGTCGCGCGTATACATGAGAGGACTGGCCCAATTTATAACACCTATGAACATTCCTTATCCACGTTCAGATCCCGTCAGCTAGCTCAGAGTACCGACGCTTCTTCCGACGGACGACTCGTCGGATTATTATTATTGTTGTTCGTCGACATCATCGTCACTTCTCCAGCATGACTGGAACAATAAAACTTTTTATGCGCAACGAACGTCGAATAGTAGTTGAAATAAATGTCGCAAGATTTGCAATATCTGGCTCCAGTTTTAGCTGTGCCTTGAACAACTTCTTCCAATTCTTCGGGCTTCGACGTAGAAGAAGGTTCCATGACTTCCTCTTTTATTATATGATCTTCATCGTGCGCTATGATTACTTCCGGCTCAATCGCCTCTTTTTTCACCAGTATCTCCTCGTCTTCCTCCAGAAGAGGCATAGACCTGATTTCTTTTTCCTCGGAGCCATTAACAGCTGAATCTTCCGCGTGTGAGCTCTCGTGGACTAGTTTAATGTGCCTCAGAACGTTGGCTTTGTATGATGAGCTGTAGGAACACTGGTTGCAATGGTGGCTGGGTTCCAGGAAACTTTCAGTGTTAGGAGATCTGGATCGGTCGTCCAGAATACTCGCTGGGCCATGGGAAGGAATCACGTTCACTTCAACCGTGCTGGTACCTTCATCTTCAAGAATGTATGTGATATACTTCTCCTCCTGAAACAAAATAAAGACAATAATTAAGCAGGTATGAAATATTTGAATTCTTATTTATTATAAAATCTATTATACTCAGTAAGAACACGCCTTTGAGAAAATCTCAAAGGTGCGACTTCGTTTCGTCCTGTTCATAATAAAGGACGTATGCCTCTCTACTCACAGGCGATTTTGGTGAAATTGATGACACGTGTGAATCGTTGTATTCGTGCTACGTGCCGCTGTAAGGGTGTCTGCAGTATGCTGTGTAATGCCCGCTGTGATTTGGAGACTGATCAGGGCCACCTTCATTCCGAAACCTGGGAAAACAGGACTCGGCGAAGGCCTTGAGACCAATCAGTCTCATGTCATTCGAGTTGAAAACGCTAGAAAAACTACTTGACAGGCATATCAGGCACGTATCACTGGCTACCAGACCATTACATCGAGACCAATATGCATACAGGTCAGGTATGTCAACAGAAACGGCTCTATGTCGGGTAACAGAAAAAGTAGAACATACTTACAAAAACAAGGAAGAACTTTTAGCTGCTTTCTTGTACATTGAGGGCGCATTTGACAATACGTCGTTAGAATCAATCATCCAGGCGTCGAGGAGAAGAGGGATCGACAAGACAAGCTGTAGGTGGATAGACTGCATGCTTAGGGGAAGATTGGTATATACAACCATTATGGGGGAAATAGTCGTGGCACGGGTAGCAAGGGGCTGTCCTCAGGGGGAGGGGGGTTCATCCCCTCTGTTATGGAACCTTGTAATGGACGAGCTATTATGTCTTCTGGACCACAACGAGTATAAAGCAACTTTGGTCTGGTGGCCAAAGATGAAGCAGGCGACCGCTATCAACAAACTAGACAAGATGCAAAGACTTGCATGTTATGGAATGACGGAAGCAATCAGAACTACCCCAACAGCTGCATTGGAGACACTCCTGAATCCACCTCCTTTACACTTTGTGCTAATGGGGAAGGCCAGGATGGGCCAATTCAGACTGGAAAACTCACCGAACTACAAAAGATCGGACCGTACAGAAATTTCGGAACATGTGGAGGAGCACATATTGAATATGTGAACGGACCACATGACATCGAAGTACACCTTTAACACAAACTTTACGGCCAAAATCATAAGCCGTGAAGAGTGGAAGACCATTAGTCATCCCGAAAACATATTTGGAAAAAACACCTGGTATACAGATGGATCGAAGACCATACATGGAACGGGAGCTGGAATATACCGAGCGGATAGACATTTAAACTACAGTTATCCACTAGGACTATATACACATCCGTCTTTCAGCCTTGCAGTGTGCAAGGCTTATTAAAATGAGACTTTAAAGAAATGAGTGGATCAATATTTTAACAGACAGCAAGAGCGCACTAGGGGCTCTGACAAAACCGAAGGTGACATCAAAACTGTTTTGGGAATGCTATGACGAACTGAATGCACTTGCAAACAGGAACAAATTAACTTTGTACTGGTTACCAGGATATTCAGGAATCACAGGTAATGATGAAGCTGATGAATGCGCTATACACGGATCATCAACTTCATATATAGGTCCTGAACCAGCTCTGGGGGTACCAAAATCATTGGTACGAAAACAGTTTAGGACATGGACCAAAAAGAAGCACACAGAGTACTGGACAAAAGTACCTGGCAACAAACACAGTAGAATCTTCATTAGGGAACCGTCCGAGAAAAGAACCGAAGAACTACTTCGATATAGTAGGGATCGGCTCAGAATAATCACAGGGTTACTAACCGGTCATTGTCCGCTTAGTGGACACCTGAATAAAATGGGGATATACAACGGAGACCTCAGCTGGAGATTATGCAACGAAGGGATAGAAACAGCTCTACACATCTTATGCGAATGTGAGGCACTGAATCACAGGAGGCAGGCAATATATGGACGTACAAAATTACGTCCAGAAGAATATGACGAACATCCAACACGAAACCTGTACAAACTAGTACAGGGAACGAGACTGATGGAATGGGTGTCATGAGAAGACGGGAGAATAAACGCAATAAGCCCAGGAGACTGCAGTGTTTTCTGGAGACTTGAACTGAATGGACAAGTCAGACAGCTCCCAAGGGACCAAAAAAAATCCCACTGTGATTCGAAAGTGCATATAGTGTATAACGACAAGGAGCCACATCGTCAGCTGCATAATTGCTCATATCTAATCCTTCTAGAGGAAATTCGATGGCAACATTTAATTTGCCACTGAATCTTTCCGTTGTAGAGACTCTTTTAAAATAAGGGAAAACTTATGGATTGATAGGGACTTTGTACATTTTCTTCTTTCCTTACACTTCGAACACGCCGATTTTTCATCTCCATCCAGAGTTTCCTCTCTTGTGAAGGATTCCGAGCATTGCGACAAACTCAATTGGTCAGTTATTTGTAGTATGGGGAGAAACAAATCCCAGAAAGGACCGAAGTTTACTGATGAGTGTTCACAGTGTGTGCACTTCATCGTGGATTTTAATTGACCAACGAAATCATCTACAACCTTCGGTTGTGCCTTTCCACTGTCGCTCAGTTCTTCGTCAATATCCGTTAAGATCGGTTTAGGTTTCTCATTAATTCCATTAATGTCCTCACGTAAACACGTAGAAGATAACGAAGGAACTCCTGTCCGTCTGGATGGGTTTAAACCATGAATCGAGGAGCAAAACTTTGAATCCTTTGAGGATAATTTGTTGAGTACTCTATCAGATGAATCTTCTGACCACAATTCCTTGATAACTTCTATGAACGCTTTGATTAAAGCACCCTCCATATTAGAGTTACTAGTATTGATATCTTTCATGTATTCATCCTTTTTTAAATATTCCAGCAAATATCTCGTGTTTGATTAACACTGGATTACCGTTCATGAAACAGGTGTTGCTAATATTTTTCATCCCATCAAGCCCAAGGGTTTTGACGAAGAATGTGTCACTGATCTAATGTTGTTGTAGCTGTTGATGCTACGTTCGCCACTGCTGTCTTTTTCTGAGTAATCACGGATTTGATGATTCTCCCCATCATTGCACCGGTGGGATAAGGAATTCGAAACTGAATTGGATAGATATATGTCAGAACTTTTTATTTTGGGAAAAGATGATAACTCGATAAAAACTCATTATAGATGCCTGAATAACTATTGATATTTGAATAATTCTCACCTGTAGATCTGGGGATCGTTTGTCGAAGTGCATCCTGATGTGGGTTCTCATTCCTCGCAGTGTGTTCCCTTTGTACCTGCAAATGGTACACCTGTAGGCCTTGATCCCCGCGTGAGAATCCATATGCCTCTGAGCTGCACTGGCTGTAGGACTTATGACTTCGCAACAAGGACACTTCCATCCCGCAAACGATGGGCTCGTTATGCATTGATGTCCCGGTTCGATTACTCCCCTACACTTTCCACATTTCCTCGGATCCATTTCGCCCCGTTTCAAGCAGTAGTACGCTTGATGTGCGTTGAGATTATCAAGTGAGGTGAATTTGATACCGCAAGCAAGGCAAATCAGTTGCTGGTACTGCCCGGCAGGACTCGTCGTTCCGGTACTCCTAGGGCTGGCAGGCGGACTTCCCGAAGTTTTACAACTGTCTTCTTCCTGTGACCTTGCAGAACAGTAATGCTTCTTGTGAATCACATAGTTCTCTAGTTTACAAAAGACGATATTGCAATCTTTGCATTTTGATACTCCTTGCTTCACCAGGACCTGGGGCATTACTGGTGGAATCGCAGGCATCTCAGTCAACCTCATCTGCACGTCGGGGGGAAATAGAGGTAAAGATCCTCGCATCAACAAGGGATGTAAGGAAGAACCGTCAAATGGCGGTAAATTGTTCATTTCCGGGCTCGTTCTAACTTTCTCTGACTTCGACTTTAATCGCTTGGGACTACTGCTTCTCGACGTTTCATCCAGTTTCCTTTTTGGCGAAGTACTCAAGCTAGGAGACGAATTGGTATGAGAGACTGGCGTTGTTGGAGGAGAACAGTGCAGCGACGGAACGCACTCAATTTTTTCAGGAGAAGGAGACCGCTTCCGATTTTCTTTCTCCTGCTCTTCGCCCAGGTCGATAACTAGATCGTCAAGCTCGGGAGATTTCCTCACACTCAAATCTAACGGAGTGGATGAGGTATCTCTGATAACTACAGGTTCTTTGGATTTGTTCGCATTCCTCACTACTTCATGCTGTTGACTGGAATGATTCGAAGTCAATGCGTTCGTCATTGGTTGAAGGGTACCATTTGGTAAAAGGAAGCAGGGAGTGTCAGGGTTTGGCATGCCAGCAGCTGGGGACAGTCCAGGCAAAACACTGGCGCTTCGGAACAGGGAGTATGGCACAATAATAATGGGATTGGTTGGTAGCGCCAAGAAGGGCTGATTTGGAGCAGCCGAAGTAGAAGGGGAGGGGGGAGTTTTGCAAGAAGTAGCCTCTGCAGGGGAAGTAGGCGACGAACCGGAATTATTAGACGTCGTTTTGGCGGTTGATATGGAAGGTTTGATCATATGCCTGGAATTGCAGTAATGCATTTTGTGGGCACGAAACGTCTTTTGCGAACTGAATCTGATGTCGCATTCTGCGCAATAGCGATCCTGGTTGTCACTACTGGAATCGCCGTTGGGTATTAAGTTTGTCGTACTAGGACTAGGGCTTGGAGACACGGTATGCATCCGCATATGTCGGTTCAAACTGACTTTCTTGTCGGCACTGTATGAACACTGCGTACAAGTGTACTGTTTTCCAACACGAATATTTTTCGACGTTGATTCGGAAAGATCTACATCCGAATGGTTTCCACTCGCTTCGGCTCCTGTTGACTTCGACTCGTCGTCATTTGCCGGTTTGTTGATCCTATGAGAACAGTAATATGTTTGATGAGCTTCCAAGGTGCTCAGAGACGAGAATCTGATTCCACAGGGCGGGCATTGGAATATCGGTACAATTGGCTGCTTAGGTTCTAAGGATTCCGTTGGCCTTGACACCTCAGCGGCAGGAATGATATTGGGAAGAAAGAATCCCCTTGACAGAGCGTTCTGTAGAGCAGAGGGCAAACTTGCCAGATATTCGCTAGGAGATTGTTCCTGGTCAACATTCAAATGTGATAAGAGCTGTGAATGCAGCGCAGGGTCAGTAGCCAGATTCGCTTTCAGTCGAATCCTCGGAGTCTTTTCATCCGACTCGACTTTTGGTGAATGTTCGGTTTCGTCCTCGACTTGATCCGGTGATGGTTTCTTTGGCGTTGGAGACGACTTCGACGTGTCTGCTGGGTCAGTGGACCAATCTCCTACCTCTCCTGCAACAAAAAATGCAAATATAAGCAAGAATGCTGGTTTACCAGGAAACACGAGAGCTGATAAGTGTGTGGCGAGTATTCGATAGTGACAGGCGATAACCAATAAAATACTGGCGAGAGTTCGTAAATAATGGGTAAGAGAGAAGAGATGGAAACAGAAACAGGTTAGTACAAATGCATCAGAGATAAGAACGAGCAATACACGGGTCGGGCATGTTGGAGTTCGACTCTAATGAAGCAGTCGATCAGAACGACCCACGCAGACACTTACGTTCTCTTCCACACCCGTGCATCACATCACCACCATGACATAGGGCTATCGCCCATGACACAATCAATAATCACTACTGAATACTACCTCACGACTTCAACATACTTCTCTTGCTATCGGAAATATCGGAAAAAATAAATGAATTGGATTTTCTACCTTATTAACGAGAATTTATGTCGATATCATAGGACATGTGTATTTCAAGGAGATTTGCTGATGTAAAAAAAGGTTTGTCTCCATACCATTTCGACAAATCAGAATTAAATACTTTATTGAATATTTTCTCTTAATATATTCAATATATTTTCCACTGCCAGACTAGACTCTGGCGTTTTATGACGTAGACCACCATAAGTTCACTTCAATGATTTCAAGTGAGCGAGTAACACAGGTGGGGGGTATAATTGTGGCGTAATTTAAACTTTTACGACCGGCCCATAGGAGCAGCTACACTCGCTGAGATAAGATCGCATCTGAGATCTTTATTACAAGACACTGCACACGATATTTAAAACATGTCAATTGGAAAACAATAGTAGTAACATAAAATAATAATGACCAATGCCGATGGCAAAGCAGATAAAAGATATTAGAAATTAATAAGAACGCAGATGGGACTTCTCGCGACTGATAAACATCTTTAATTAGAGTCCGGAATGTGGAGTCGGCGATGATAAAATCGGCGTGGACTCGTGTGTTTTCTTGCAGTATTCTTGAATGTGTTTGGGTGAGTTGTTCATTCTACCTACGGTTAGGACATTTGTTTTCATCTTGTAGAAAAGCTACAGAAATCATCTATCATTTCAATAATATATCATTCGAGACTGTACTGGAGGAACTGGGGATGTAATTCTCTCAGTTCTGATGAATTAAAGAGACAACTTGTCAAAATTATTCGAGGAGGCTATTTCCGCAAGATGGCGGTGCATACCTCAAGGAAAACAAAGAATTATCAGACACTTTGTATTGGCATTTCCATGGAATATCACATTTGTCCACTTAACAAAATTCTTTCAGAATTCCTGTAGTGGAAGTATGTGTATTATGTAGTATTATGTAGTATTATGTAGTATTATGTAGTATTATCGTTCGAAAGATAATACTACATCGATAGTTGAAGAAGAATCAGTGTTCAGAGTTGAATCATGGGATTTTTGTGTATGACAGAGGATTGGCAGCTAATTCATTGGTCCTTACAAAATAATAATAACTATGATGTCTCCAAAGAATTTGGTAGATATTCGATGTTGAGTGAACAATAAATCAGTTCTGTTTCTACAACATATGGTTATAATGAGCTTTTAATATTTAGTTATGAGAAACTGGATGAACCTTTGGGAATATAGGCACACATATATTTCTAGTACTTGGAGAAAAATCATGTTTTTCAGAGAGTAAACACTTGAATTCGTTGACTGCTTTACCGATTCTGGGTATAATATTTCAGATTTTTGCTAATTTCTGATCTTAGAGAAGGCTGTACATGGACACATTTTCTGATACATAATTATCACACTGTATCAATAAAGACTTTTTGAATTAACTAGTCATTGAAGATATGGCTTTCACATTTCTGCAAATATTATAAAAGATACGTGTAACAAAATATTTAAATGTGAATACGATTCCCTATCTATCAAGGTTTTTCTTAATTTTGACGTTCAAATTGTAACGTAACACCAGATGTCGCTCACTGCATGGTCCTCTCAAATACAAAGTTGTTGTCCATTGTAATGTAAAAAGGAAGAAGAATTCCAATATATAGAAAGTAATTATTTGCGCCATACCACAATACGTTTTCGATTTGATTCATTTAAATGTTCAAGTCTACTTGTGTGTAGCGCTGAATTGAATATGTTAGGTCAGGATCATTAGGAACACAAAAAGATATTTAGAGATTATCAGCTACATTAACATACTTTATCGTCACAGAGGGTTACATGATCATCTGTTATCTAATTTATTATTACCTGTAATCTAATTTCGTAAAAAGAAATTCCTTCTTGCTGCTAACAAGACACCTAGTTTAATCAAAATAGGCGAAAAAAGTTTTGAGTTATTAAAAAAAGAACAATATTTTCAGTATAACTTTTGACTCCCCGGAAACGAAACAAGTTAAGACAGTTTATATGAACTTTTTTCATGAAATGTAACAAGTACTTAATCACCACCTGAAATTAATGACATCATTCACCCTTTGTAATATTTTATAGAATGATAATAAAGTTCGATTGATGACCTATTTATTTTGTAGAAATTCATATTGAATATATAATAAAGAAAATGACTTTTTTCTAAATTCTACTGAGTTTATTATTTGTTCCGACCGGTTTCTTGAGACTTAAGAATGGTCTAACAAACCGAAACCGGTCGTTACAAATGATAAACATAGTAGAAATTATTTTCTTTATCCTACCATCAATAAAGTGCTGCCGAATTTTATGAAACTAAGCCAAAATCGTAGTTATCCGCTAGGACTATACACATCCGTCTTTCAGGCGGAAGTGTATGCTATCTTGTAGTGTGCAAGGCTTATTAAATTGAGACCTCAAAGAAATGAGCGAATCAATATTTTAACAGATAGCAAGAGCGCACTAGGGGCTCTGACAAACCCGAAGGTGATATCAAAACTGGTCTGGGAATGCAATGAAGATAACTGAATGAACTTGCAAACAGGAACAAATTAACTTTGTACTGGGTGCCAGGGCATTCAGGAATCACAGGTAATGATAAAGCTGATGAATGCGCTAGACGCGGATCATCAACTTCATATATAGGTCCTGAACCAGCTCTGGGGGTACCAAAATCATTGGTGCGAAACCAGATCAGAACATGGACCAAAAAGAAGCACACAGAGTACTGGACAAAAGTAACTGGTAACAAACACAGTAGAACCTTCATTAGGGAACCGTCCGAGAAAAAAACCGAAGAACTACTTCAATATAGTAGGGATCGGCTCAGAATAATTACAGGGTTACTAACTGGTCATTGTCCGCTTAGAGGACACGTGAATAAAATGGAGGTGTTCAACGAAGACCTCAGCTGCAGATTATACAATGAAGGGATAGAAACAGCTCTACACATCTTATGCGAATGTGAGGCAGTGAATCACAGGAAGCAGGCAATATATGGACGTACGTCCAGAAGAATATGACGGACATCCAACACGGAACCCGTACAAACTAGAACAGGGAACGAGATTGGTGGAATGGGTGTCATGAGAAGATGGGAGAATAAAATATTAATGTGAGTGGAAAAGTTGAATTGTGAATTATAGGTAACACCAAGATCCTTTATTTCAGTTTTTCTCTCTAGGATCTCTCCCTTCATTTCATATTCAAACAGAATTGACTCTTTAATACGGGTGTTTGAGAGTACAGAACATTTTTTTAAATTGAAATATAATTTATTTCTTAGACTCCAATCCAGACTCCAAGTCTGGAGACTTGGACTAAATGGACAAGTCAGACAGCTCCCAAGGGATAAAAAAGCCAAAATCGTAAAATAGGGTTACTTTTTGAATAAAAGTTAATATTCATCAAAAGATTAGGTTGTTCGGAACAGTAGCAACATCACTTTGTCAACTTATGTCGGATGCACAAATTGATAATGCATGTATATACTTTCGTTGTCCGAACTGTAGCCTTAGTATAAATGTCTTATAGTTAAATCAATTATCTCTACTTGTCACTCAATTTCTCTGAATCACCACGAAACTTAATAAAAGCTAATTTACGAGTGAAAACCAATACCCGTTAAAGACCATAATCACTTTCTGGATATTACACGGGGCCGTTGAGGTGTTTAATGATAAACATTGTAATTTCCGAGATTCTTATAATAAGTAGGTAAACGTAAAGACAGTATCGCACAAAATTATATTCTAGGTACAATGCTGAACATATAGCCTCCAGCTAGTCACCCACAAAGCAACAGAGCCGATAATAAACGAACACATTTTTAACGCTGCGCTGGTAGAATGCTTTAAGCACACATGATTTATAGTTGTTTATGTTCCCCCTTAGGTTTGGCTCGTTTTATGGAACGATTTTGATGTATTGATTGCTACAGTTCCTGGTCGTATAATGATAACTGTGGGCTCGGTCTGATAAGGAAAATCGTGTATTTACTAAACAAGCGCTTATCGGATTCATGCGAAAGATAATGTCGTGGAGTTTTATCAGTAAATGACACGATTTATTCAACTGTTATGGACTCGGTTCGAGTTTAACGTGTGATTGGTTTTTTTGTCACAGTTTCGGTTAATGCAGTTGTTATTCATGACTGGAGAGAATATTTTTATTGCATTAACTCCTACCTNTCCTGGAAGGCAATGAGGCTGCTGACTCCTTTGCAAAGGAGGGTACTGCAAGCAGCTTCATCGCACCAGAACCTGTCATTGGCATGACTTAAGGCTTTGCCAAACAAACATTGAACACCTGGATGGCAACAATATTTATGGATTCTGGCAAAATCTTCCTACTACAGTGGGGATGACCCGTCGGTTGGGCTACCTACCGGGCGCGTCCCCAGGTGGCAGATAGAGGAACGGCCAGAGGACTGGAGGCCCAGTCCGGAAAGCCAATGTGGCCTTACGGACGGGGTCGCCGGACTCCTGGTCAATGGCAGAAATGGGGGGTGGCTGGGGATGAACAGAAATGTCCACCCCAATCTACGGCTTGTAATGAGGCTGGACATAGCAGATCACCTCGTGATGTAATACAAAGAC